TCTCAGTTCCTCACATGCAGCACTAAGTCTCCTGGCTCAGTGCCTGGAGTACACTCCCTCCTCACCTCCACTCCACAGGATCCCTCTCTTACTTTAAGATGGACTCAAGCACCATTTTCTGTGAATCCTTTCCTGATCTCCTACAGTGCTATAGTGCCCTACATCCCAAACTATCTTTTATGTAACTTCTTTGTATTTACTAACACTATTTGTGCTGTTTATATTTGTACTTGTATCTCCAGTTAGAATGGAAACTCCTTGCAAGTAGGGATTGTTTTGTTCTTTGTAGTTGTATTCTCAACACCTAGCATAGTGCCTGACACAGAGGAGGCCCTTAATAAATAGTTATTCATTGATTGATACAATTCTAAAATCCCATATGTGAGCAATTGTTATGATCATCATAAGTATATTCTTCAACACTACTATATAAGTTATAGAGTGAGTAGGTAAATATCTGTATTTTAGCTTAATTATTTTTTCTTCATTCTTAGATAATAGCATTGGGCAAGTTTCCAGTCACATTCAGAGTGGCCTTACCATTATTGATCTGGGGCTAGACCCCTAGAACAGCTGTTTATTGTGCCATTCCCAGGTGCCAAATCAAGAAAATAGTCCTGCATACAGCAGCCACAGATGAGAATGGAGCCTAGTGCATGTTAGCTTGGTATAGCTTTCTCTATCATGGTTATTAATGCCACAAAACTGAGAAAGACATGAAAAAATCAGTTTATTTCCAAGCTGGTTTGCCTGCATACCTAACCAAAAATTAAGTTTACTTAAAAATAATAATCTATTCTATCCCCTTAGCTGTATTTAAACAAACTTCCTTCTTTTAGGAAAAATTTCTAGTCAGATTGCTGCTTCTCTCTCTTTAATGTTGCAAACCCGAGATTAATTCTCCGTTATGTTTACCGTGACCCTCTCTAATCTTTTCCCTCTCTCATCAGCAATCTTAGTGACTCCAGATCTGGTTCTAACTTTTTTTTTTTTTTAAATGGTGGGAGTAGGGGTAGTATGTGTGTTACCTTTGCTTTGCGCCCCTCCCCCCCATAGTTCCAACAATTGTTCTGACAGGAGAACCCCAAGATTATATCACATAACTTTACTAGGGCTTCATTTACCATACCTAGCCCTGAAAGGGTAGTGGTAGTTTGATTAACATCTTTATCTGTCAGTTGACAGGGTTATTGGCCTCTGACAATTCTGGGGAGGTAGGGGAACCATCTACTTTGGATCCTGAGACAATAAATGGTGAAATGTTGAAAATGAGAGCCGGGTAACCCAAATCAGCAAAAACCTAGCCAGAGAAGCTTTCCTGTGGTCTCAATTTAATAGGGAAGACATCATAGTTTAATTGTGATGCAGCTGACTTGAAGAAGCACTTTAATAATCAAGGTCTAAAGCCTGGGTCTGCAGGTCTGCCTCTGCCCAAGGACAGGGGGAATGTAGGCTAGATAGGGACTTGCAAAGTACTTGGCGTTATTTTAAAACTTTTTCTTAGCAATAGAATAAATCTCCTCATTGTTTTAGTGGCTTGGTAGTTAATTTTTTTCTAATGAGGCCAGGTTAACTGAAATCGTCTGACGTGGGGGAGAAAAAGGAGGAGGTAGTTAAAAAGGAACCTAATTAGCAAGTTAATTATAGCAAGCAAAAAGTGCACTGGTTATATAAATAAGCTATTGTTATGCGCATGCAAGTTGGGCCACGTTGGGGGACTTGTTGTTAAGGTTTAGAGGTCAGAAGATCCTTGTAATTAGGTGAAAAAAAAATAAAGCCAAATAACCACCACTACTCTAGAGCACGGAATGGCTGGTGATCAGCTAGCAGAAATTTCTTATTAAATATTGGGGTTCTCGTGCCAGAGTGGTTGTTGTTGCTGCTACAGGCAGGGCTAACAACCCCACCAAAAACAGCCAGCTGGAACCAGAGCTGCCGAGATTGCTGATGGGGAAGGTGTAAAGGACTGGACACCAGGGTCCCTGGACTGGAAAGGTGGTGAGAGGGTTATAGGTGGTAGCACTATGTTGAGCAGCAAGAAGAAGTACATTGTCAGTGGTGACTCTGGGATTAAAGCCCAGGTGAGGCTGGATTTGTTGCTGCTGCTATATAGTATGAAGCCAGTGGCTTATGTTTGTTCTCTTTTCCCCCTTCTTGTGTCTAATTGAAGGCTTCTCTCTCTCTCTGGAATCAGAGTCTCTGTACTGTCTGTCTTTTGCCTCACTGCCTGTTAGAAGGAGAGGATTCTCTTTGGAGCTAGAGGAGAAGTGGTGAACAGTATTTTACTTTATAGAGCTCCTTGGATTTAACATTAATTTAAGAAGGTAGGAACTTTAGGAGATAGAGGTGACAGAAACCATCAGGGTATCACAGGAGGGTGGGGAATGTATTGCTGTATCAGAAAGTAGGCATCTGGGTTAAATGTGTATCAGCATTGTATTCCTCGGGGTAGAGAAGGACATTAGAGGACAATAACTCCTTTCAACAGAGAAAACCGTCTTTTTCTGCGCTTTAGACTTGATTAACTTCTGGTTCTAGTTGATGAGAAAACACTTAACCCTGACAAAACTTCTGCTTGACTCCAATTTTGCATTATCAGTTTGTTTCCATGATTCCATGATCTCAAATAGAATCAATTTGCTAACCAGTAAACAGGATTTTAAACCTTTTTGCCTTTCAATATTCATAAGGGTTTTAAAAGGTATACCTTAACTTGGGGCTAGGTCTGAGGAAATATTATTACAAGTGGAGAGGGATTTTATAAGAAGAGACTATATAAAAACTAGTTTAAGAAAGTGGTAGTTAAGTTTCTAAACAGTGCAGTGTTACTGGTATAGAGCACTACAAATTCTAGGATAAGTTAGCTACTCCAGATTATGGGACAGATGAAATATCCAATTCAGGATCTATTGCTCCATTTTAAAAAATAGCAAACAACATTCTAGTTAGTTGCTTAATGTGGAGTTGTACTGATGGAGAGCTGATTTGCTACCTTTTTTGTATCTTGTGGGTCTAGAAAGAAGAATATGCTGGGGCAGGTAGGTGGCTCAGTGGATAGAGCTCTGGCCTTGGAGTCAGGAGGACCTGAGTTCAAATTTGACCTCAGACACTTGACACTTACTAGCTGTGTGACCCTGGGCAAGTTATTTAACCCTGATTGCCTCACAAAAAAAAAAAGAAAGAAAGAAAAAAGAAACTGTTTAAAAAAGAAGAAGAAGCTGTTAGAAAGAATATGTGGCTTCCTTCTTAAAGAGAGTTTGGGAGATAGACTATCTCCAGAACCATCACCTATGTATGGCTGGCATTCCACTCATGTTTTTGACCCTCTTATCTTTAGGCTTGGTTTACCAATCTTGTAATTTGCATAAAGCTTACTAAAGTAAGGACAATGAAGAAGTAATAGCCTCGCTTGCATCACTCTCTTTGGAAAAAATGTTCATTGAATTAGGATTCATTTTGCACTTGTTTTTGGATGGCATCTGTAATTTCATTGGTATAAAGAACTCCCAGCAAGAAAACTCCCTCTACCAGTAGAAATGAGCACCTCTGCAATCTAAAGCCTTAAAGAGTTTCCTGAAGCACCAAGAGGTTAAGTGACTTGAACTTATGTCTTCAGGACTCTGAGACCATGTGTCCTCCAAACCATGCTGCTTTGTTCATATGTATCCCTCAAATCCTTTCTGAAGCAGTAAGGTGGACTAGAGCAGAGGGTTCAAACCTCCTCCCCCACCCCTAACCCCTCGAATCCAGATTAAAAATGTCATTGGGTAATAATTTTTAAAAATACAATAAAACATAGGTAATATCACATCTTAAAACTAAGGCAATATGTATTCCTCAGGGATCCTTATGTATGGATTAGTGCTCCCATTTTTATTTGAGTTTGATAGCACCACACTAGAGCAGGAGTAGAGTAGAGGGCAGGTAGAGAGGGAGAACACCAAAATAAATAAAAACCTAAATAAATTTTTAAAAGTTATTTCTGACTTTACAGATCACTAATCTAAACCACCATTCCCAGCCTTTCCATCTACAAAATTAAAATTTCAGTCTCTTCCTCCCTGTCCCTTCCACCATCTCTTTGGAGAGATATTGAAAAGAATAATGTGGTGATATGAAAGCACTCAGTTTCTCTAAATGAGAATGCTAGATTAATTCAAATGGTTATAACTTTAGTATTGAGTCTTTTCTACACTCCAATACCTAGAGCCCCTACAACTGTATCAGAATGATAATAGTGGAACAATCTCTAAGCAACTGTGAAGGAACTCAGCCTGAGGAGGAGAGAAAGATGGATTCTTAAGTCAAAAAGTACAAGGTGTTCTTTATAAATACAGTACGGTCCTGATTACTTTGGATCCTACACATGTTCATCTTTTGTAAGGAGTAAAACCAAAAAAGCTGATTGCAAAAATTTCCAGAAAAGCTACTTCTAAGGCATATGTTAGGGACAGTGTACATTCAGCCTAGTCTTCTACATCAAAAAATATGGTACGTCGAAGTGTTCAGAATTATGATCTTGAAGCCCTACAAGATTCTGAATCATTAAAAATTAAATTATGTTCACTCTTCCTACTAGGGCAGGAAAGTGGACTAAAAATTTTTAGAAAGTTTTTCAATGATAAAGATTAATATAGAAAGTGTTTTCTGACCAATAGCTTTGTTAATTAGAGTGCCATATTCTTCAAGTATTTCTTTTAGTTAAGACTTTATTTATTTTTAGAGGGGTATGATCAATATATGTGATAATGACTTTGGGTTTTTGCAATGAAGCCATTCTAGGTTTTTATAGAAATAAATTATTTTATGGTAGGAGACCTGTCCTCTAACCTCACCAAGAGTCTTAATGTTGTAACTAGTTTAGGTGGAACATCCTAATCATCTTTACCTGAAAGGTAGGAAAGAAACCTTGGGGGGGGGGGGCATTGTTTTGATTGACTTCTAGTATCTCAATATGAAATATCTTTTGCTGGATATAACTGGGACTTTTTTTTTCTCAGCAGATCCAGTTTGCTGACCAGAAGCAAGAATTCAACAAACGTCCCACCAAGATTGGACGCCGCTCCCTGTCTCGTTCCATCTCTCAGTCATCTACTGATAGCTATAGCTCAGGTGGGTGATACAGCTGCCCACACTACTCCTATTCCAACCTAAGTAAGGGCCTGTAAGCTCCTCATTGAAAGAGTAACCTCCTTCAAGAAATTCAGACCAAAATTTCAAATGGAATTATTGGATTCATCTTTGGGAGTTTATGGAGAGAACTCATTTCTTTAAACTTGCGTCTTTCTAACTCATAAAATAAATTTCTTTATATAGAGTCAGGACAGGTTAATAAAGGAAAGACAATTTTTGGACCTACCCAGAAAAGCAATAATGCCCTTAACAAAACTTTTGTATTTTTCTATTTGTATTTTTCCATCCTTTGAATGCTCTCATTTTCGTTTGTGCAGAAGTCCTGGGTGCTTGCAAATACCCAGGGAAGACTGCCTTGCCACAAGAAGCAATAAAGACATTCTGGCTAGCTCAAACAAGTTTTGTAAGATTTTTGTCTCCAATGCCCTCTCTCCTGGGCTGTTTTATTCCCTTACTTATAACTTCCCTCTCTGCTTTGTGTTGACACTAACTCAGGTGTATAAGTTTGATGAGCCTTGGAAATCTGAGCAGAAACAATTAGTCCTTGTAGACTTTTATTGGAAAACATCAGTCAGCTGTTCCTAAATGACTTAAAAAAAAAAAAAGAAAAAGGACTAAAATTTCCAAAAAGGCTAAAAAATGCAAATATTAATGTTTTCCACTAAAAGGTACTCAAATATTTGTTCACTGATTCGCTTAGTCAGTATAATAAACATAACAAATAACGTTATCCTAACCTTATCAGTTAGGATATTCTACCAATGATTTGTATCATACCTTGAGTACCAAGTACAGATCTGGTTTGCATTTTAGTAAAAACATTAACAGAGCTGAAGAAGATTTAGAGAAGGGGTATTGAAATGATAAAAGGAATAAAAAGGCCTCTGTATGTAGATAGAATTTTTTTTTTAAGGACTCTTCAGTTCCGAAAGGAAATGGTGATCAGATGATCCAAATTTATAGAATTATGAAAGAAATTGATAAAATAAGCATGTTTATTCAAATCCTGGAATTTTAGAATTAAAGGGAAGGGATACGTCTTAAGCATTGAGAGAGGAAATGATTAAAGGGAAACTCTGCTTTAATATTGCAGATGATAAACTTGATAGTACTTAATACTTTAAGAGGTCGTGTAGGTTGAAATATAAACAGATTTAAGAAGGATTTGGATAGAGAAACTAGGAATGTTATGAAGGTATGTACTCTTAACCCTTTTGAGGCTGACATCATAGAAAGCAACTGTCATTGTTGGCACTGATCACACTTTAGTGGATGAACTGTAGTCTAACCTATCACAGCAGTTCTTTATTATGTTCTCATGTAATTCTGTATTGAGTTGATTCTAATCACCTTCTCACAGTAACTTCATATTTTTATTAAAAATCTCAGTTGTGTCCTGAAGTTTTACTTTTGGTCTCCACTCCAGTAGGAAAAAGGTGTAGGTTTTTTTGGCTGTGGGTTTTGTTTTTGTTTTTGTTTTTATTTTTGGTTGTTATGTAGAGTTGGAACTTAATTCTTTGGCTGTACTTTTTAAGCTGATTAGGCTGTGTTCTTTAAACTTTCCCCTTCATAGCTTTGTCTAGTCCTTGAAGCTGTGAACACTAGGGCACATGACGTAACTCCCATGAATTTTATCTGAAGAATCCCAAATGTTGTAGCTAAATGTTTCTGCTGAAACAACAAGAATTGATAAATGTAAAAAGGAAATTCATAAGTAAACAATTTAACACTAGAGACAAAAATCATATAAATTAATTATACAAGTGTTTAACATTTAAATGTGAGTTCTAGTTTTGATTTAAAATTGTACCAAATTTAGAATGTATTCTTATAGAAGAGACCTCAATTCTGTCTTCCTGATATTCAGGGAGGAGAAATAGCCTTTCATTCAGTGTCTTATCAGAGTGGCTTGATACTATTATAAGTCCATAGTTGCTCATGAAGTTCTATTGGTGAATTTGAGCTGGTGTCCATACGGATATTGAAGTCTCTTGGATAGATTGGACAAACAGAGCTATTCTTGTTAAGTATATTCAGTTTAGGAACATAAAATCAGAGCATTTTGAGTTGGAAGGGATCTCTCATTGCAATGGTCCCATGCAATAGCATCCCTCTGTTAAGCTCTTCCTTACTGGAAATCTTGCTGCTGCATGAGACTGTCACATATTTTGTCGACATTCCTCTCAAAATTTTGGTCCCAGAACTTAATATTACTAGTTTGATTTTGGCCCGTGCAGAGTACATTGGTACTGTCAACACTCTTGATCTGAACACTGTACTTATAGTAATACAGACTGAGATTGCATTTGCATCTTGAGCAGATACCTGAATAACACCTTTAGCTCATTTGAGCTGCTAGTCAGTTAACATCTCCAGGTCATTTTCTTGCAAACTTTTATCAAGACCATTCATACAAACTTTGGTTAGGGAAAAAAACAGTGAAAGGAACCCTGGAGTGTGAGTGCGAGTCCTTTCTCTCTATATATGAATCATCCAGAAGCAGGCATAATAATAACACATATCAAAAGAAACTTTTGTGGCAGGACATGTCTTGCAAGACACTTATATGCCTGATCCCTTCCAAGCCAAGGCCTGTGGCTCTGAGCTACATTCTGTGGTCATTTCCAAGTGACACTAGTCATTTCAAGGACTAGTTGAATAGGTTCTTGAAAGAATTTTGTAGAAATAAGCTATTTTGAATTCTTTTCCCAAACAAACAAAAAAAAAGCCAAACAAACAAAAAGCAACTATTGAAATCAAAAGAGAACAGACTTTTTAAAATTGTCAGATCATTCTTGTTGATATGTTTTTGAATAAAGCCTTTACAATGGGTTAATTAATTGCCACAGTTAATAACAGAGAGGAGATGGGAGAACAGTGCCCTTTAGTTCCTGACTAGCTGTTATAAAATCCCAAGAAGAGCCTGATGAACAAAATCACTGTGTTGAGTACTTTTCACATTTTTCCTAAAGGATTAAAATCATTAGTTAAATGAATCCTCACAGTGTTACCTAGCACACAGGTCACTTTTAACCCTTTTTATAAATTGAGAGGACCCAAGAATCCTGTGGCTCCCACAGAGTTCTGTAATTCAATAGGATTGGTTGTCCTAGAACTTTTAACTGAAAGTTCTGTTCTGTTTCTCCTAGTTGTATTGCAGGTATTGGTAGTTCATTTGTGGATAGAAGTCTAGGTCATGAGGACTGAGAAGAACGAACAGCTCCCTGATCAGGCCACAACCAGAGAGTACAAGCATCAGCCAGCCAGCTCAGAAGTACATTATAGAATAGAAACAGATCAATATCCCTCATGTGTGCTTTCTCAAACAAGAAAGAAGAAAATTGTCAAATAAGGATGTGGCTTCTAGTAACATTATTACATTATTTTAATGGCCGATCTTTTTGTTATTTTCTCATTTATCTGCTTGACTTTTGGTGGAAAGGGATAGGAAGGAACTACTTTTGGCATTTTAGAGGTAAACTGAGGATAGGTCACTTTACCAATCAGGTACCAATCTTGGTCAAAACTTTAGACCCATGTATGGATTTAGAGCATTGTCCCTCCCACTAGTTACTTACTTCATGTATTACACTATGCTATTGCCTCCAAAGTGTACTAGCAATTAAAAGCACTTTTAAAAAAATCAACTCAGAGGAAGTTCCTCCTGTAAGGGAGTCCCATTCTTTGCCCTGAAGTGGTCTTTTCTTCTAGCCTCCTGTTTTGTTTTTTTTTTAAAGGCAATTGGGGTTAAGTGACTTGCCCAGCGTCACACAGCTAGTAAGTATGAAGTGTTTGGTCTGAGGCCAGATTTGAACTCAGGTGCTCCTGACTTCAGGGCCAGTGCTCTATCCACTGTGCCACCTAGCTGCTCCTAGCCTCTTTTTTTAAGGCACTAGAAAATAGGAGTGCTTCCATAAGGGAAAGATCCTACACACTTTATCAGACTGGCTGCAGGGGTGGGTAAGTCTGGCTCTTGTCAATGTCTAGGCCTTGTTAAAACTACAGAGTCTTGCTATTGCTGAGGCTAACTAGAGTGATAGAAGTCAAGGAAAGAAAGCTAGAAGGAACAAGGTGTTGCTTAGTATAACAGGTATCCTATTCCTTTTCCATTCATAAGAAATAGAGTCTTAGAATTCAGCAGGCCCTTAAGAGGTCATCTCATTCAAACCCTTCATTTTACAGATAAATTTGCTGAAATCCAAAGAACTTAAAAGACTTGCCCAGAGTCACACAGCTAATTAATAATGTAGCCATTACAAGAATCCAGGTCTTCTGACATCCAGTATTCTTTCCACTGTACCATGATGCCTCCAGAAGTGGTTCTTAACTTGGAGTCTGTGAACGTAAAAATAAAGTTGATAATTGCATTTCAGTATAATGAGTTTCCCTTCTTATCCTATGTATTTCATTTTAGGTATTTAAAAACATTATTCCGAGAAGGGGTCCTTAATATTTACTGCCAAAGGAGTCTGTAACACAAAAGAAGGTGAAGAACCTCTGTTCTAGAACCTCATAACTGTTAGTACTTCAGGTTTTATATGGTGTAGAATTAATATCTTGAACCAGAAATGAGTAAGAATTTGTGTTATAAAAGAGAGAGTTCCAAATTGGAATCAGGAAGACTTGGTTCAAATTCAAGCTCTGACGCTTAATATCTTGTGATTGTGGGTCTATCTTTTTGATTCTCAGTTTCCTTAACTGTTTAAAAAGAAAATAAAGAAAGAGTGAAGGGGTTAGACTAGATAACTTTGAAGGTCCTTCCCAGCTCTAAGTCGATGACCCTAAGAAGTGATTTGGAGTCCAGAATGTCTGTGTGCATGTGATAATTGCATTTGAGAGTACAGTCTTGTGCTTCTGGTTCTGGGTTACTGGGAAGGCAAAGCTATTAGCCACCTCCTCCCAGGTGAGGCAAACCTCTAAGTCATAAACTGCTCCTGAGCTTTGATCTGCAAGACAGATGACTGCCCTCAAGCAGTTCTTTTTAAGTTCTGTTGCCAAAGGTACTTTGAGCTCTCACTCACCCAGGGAAGGTGAAAGGAGGGAACAAGGGGGAGGTTTTCAAACTTTTTGTCCAGATTAGCTCCTTTCAAGAAGAAAAGTCTCATTTGGGACTTGCTAATCCCCTCACCACCCTTGGTGTCCAGGATCATTCTCATTGCCTCATGTTGGGACTTTGTTCTGGGGCAGCATTCCAGCCCTGGAAAGGACGCTTGGCCCCCTGCTGCCCAGATCTTTGGGACTGCCTTGCTTGATTCAGTTGGGCAGGGTCAGACTTGCCTTCTTTAGCCCAACTAGAGATGAATCCTCTGAACAGAAATTCCAGCAGTGCCTTAATACAATGGATATAATCAGATTAGAGCCCCATAGACCCAAAGAATCCCAGGCTTTTACAGCTTTCCCTTCTTCTACACCATACCACATATCCCTTTGGGAAGCATATGGTGCCACATAGACACTTGAAGGCTAGTTAGGAAGAAGTTGTCTCCAGAAACATAGGCTCTGAGCAGGGAAGGGGAGAATTATGTTAGGCCACTTAACAAATGATTAGCAAGAACTGAGGACAGTAAGAAGACTGGGAAACCACTGGATAGAGTAAACGTAGTAGCACCAGCTGCAGAGTCAATACAAAGTTCAAAAGTGGTTTTTATCTTTTTTTTCCCTCCACCATCTATTACTGCAGATAGAGGACCAGACTTTGCATCATGAAGACCTGGATTCAAGTCCTGCCACTAACATACAGCAGTGTGGCTGGGGCCAAGTCATTTCACCTATAAATGTCCCAGGCAACTTTCTTAAACTCTCAGAGTTGCTGATCTGGGTTGGTAGAAGGAGTTTCCAGACTTTACACTGATGGAATCATAGTTCCAGACCTTCCTTGCTCCCCGCTCTCACTTCCCTGACTGAAAAAAAACAATCTGTCACTATATGCTTAGTTGGTCAGATCCAAAGAGAAGAAATCTGCCTTAGTGAATATATCTAGAGTATCTTTATCAGAATGACCTGAGGTCAGCATAAAGGGAAGGCCTATCAACAAGCATGATTCAGCCTAATTGTATTTAGTGAGGGGGAGTGGTACTAACTGAGCCCTTTCTACATGACACTGGGTGTTTTTTCCAGGGATCATTTATTTTCCAGCTTATAGGTATTGGACTTGGCATTGCAACTAGACCTGTTGTCCAAGTAACAGCAAAGGGAAGTGTGACTGAGATTCTAGACACTTGAGTGTTAATGGCTGTGATACCACATTTGAATCTTTACTCAGAGGGTCTCGGAATACTAGTTTTTGAATAAGAGCCCCTTTCCTTTCTGTCAGAACTGTTTAATAAAACAAATGGCATAATGCATCTCTCTTTCTACTTGTGAACCATTCAGCCAGTGTTACCATAAGAAACTGCCTTTTTAGCTCCCTAGACTTCTGTCTTAGTTGCTCCTTCTGGGGAGTAGGTGATTGCTCTTCTGCAGAGAGTGATCAGGGCACCTCAGGTTCCCCCCCTTTGTGTTTGACAAATGTCTAACTGTACTGGGTGATTACGATGTGGTTGGAAATCATTGGTATATTGATTAGTGGCACCAGCTGATGCCACACTTTGAGGTCTAAGAAGAAAAATAATTTCTCCCCTGAAGTTTCCTTTTTCTCTCTCTAGCGGCTTCATACACAGATAGCTCTGATGATGAAACTTCCCCACGGGACAAACAACAGAAGAACTCCAAGGGTAGCAGCGACTTCTGTGTCAAGAACATCAAACAGGCAGAGTTTGGCCGGCGAGAGATTGAGATTGCAGAGCAAGGTAAAGAAGGCAAATGCTTTCTAAACTCAGTGCTTCAAGTCTACCTTTGACCTTCGTCCAAACTATTGCCTTGGTTGTGTCTTGGAGTCAGAGAACTAGTGGAGGTTCGAGTGAAGTTTAATACTTGTAGTGAAAGAGATCTGTTTTCGGAGAGCACTTCCGGAAGAAGGTGAACATTTGTGTTCAGAGGGAGCCTCCTTTCCCTACCCACCCCCACCCTCCAAGAAGAAAGGAGGGAAAAGCTGGAAGGAATTAGGACTCTGGAATATTTGGAAACTTCCCAACTGAGGACCCCAGGTTAAATAATGCTTAATGCTTGTCACTCCCCTTCTCAAGAAGCTTCATTGGCTCTCTGTTGCCCCCGAGATTAAATACAAGCTCAGCTCTGACATTTAAAGTCTTTCCCAGTATGGTCCCAGCCTTTCCTTGCAGGCTGATTATACATTCTCTACCTCATGAGCTTTGTGCACTACCAAATTGACCTCCTTGTCGTTTGCTGCTTAGGACATTCTCTCCAATGCCTTTTGCCTTTTCAGATGCTGCCCCTGATGCCTGAATGTCCTTTTTCCTCCTCTCTACCTCTTGGAACCTGTTAGCTCCATTCAAGGCTCAGCTTGGGTCACTTCTTTCAAAAAGACTTTGCTCATTCTCCCAGTTGCTGGTGTCCTTCCTCCAAACCACTTTGTATTTATTTATCTATGAACATGTCACATCCACCTAAGAGAATGTAAGCTGCTTGTGAACTAGGACTGTCTCATTGTATTTGGTCCCACAGTGCTGAGCACCATACCTGGTACATAGTAAATGCTTCATAAATGTTTGTTGTTTGATTGAATCTTACCGAAGGCTCAGGTTTTTATATTTTTTTTCTCCTTCCTTTCAAATTCCTTCCTCTCTTATTGTGATGTGTCTTGATCCCTTCTAGAGATGCCAGCGTTGATGGCTTTGAGAAAGAGAGCTCAGGGAGAAAAGCCTTTGGCGGGAGCCAAGATTGTGGGCTGCACTCACATCACTGCTCAGACGGCGGTGAGTCTCTTCTCCTTCCATAAGTAGGATGTGATCTAGTGAAGGATGGTCTGGAATCTCTTACTTGAAGATGAGAGTAGGGTCATCTGTGGAGCTGCATCTTCATATATCTCCACTATTGCCAGAATATCATCTAGACAGAGCTCTTAATCTTTCTTGTCATGGACCCTTTTGGTAGTCTAGTCAAGTCTGTGGAAGCCTGAGAAATGAGGCTTTCTCAGAATAATACTTTTAAATATATAAAATAAAATACTTAAGATTGAAAAGGATACCAGTTACACTGAAATACAGTTCTGAAAATATTGTAAAAGGTAAGTTCACATACCTCAGGTTAAGAACGCCTTGTCTGGATTATAGACTTGGTGTTAGGTTATTATAGCCATGTTGGAAGGTACTGATTGCTAGCCAAAGTCTCTGGGTGGTTATCGTTATATAGAATAGAGAGTACCTTGAGCCATGGTTAATATAATACATTAATTAAAAACCTTTATCTTTATGGAAATGCTGACAAATGAATTTGGGTAGAACTCCAAGGAATGTCTCTAGGGTTTCTCAATCAATGTAGGGATAAAAGGGTGTTCCCCTCCCTCCCCTCACCCTCTCCTTCCTGCTTTCTTCCCCCTCCTCTCCCACATTGAGCCCTCTCACATTGATGCCCCTTCGTCATAGCCATTCAGATAAGTTGTGATTCTATTCATTTTTTTTTTCCCAAATTGGTTCATATTGCTTTGGTAGATAAATCTCAGATACTCTCATGGAACAAAGCTGAGGACCTTGTAGCAACACGAGCTAGTGGAAGAATTTAGAATGCTTTATCATGAACACTTTTTTTTCAGCCTGTCTCCTTGGCCATTGGCTTTTGAGACAACCTCAATCACCTTCTGCTTCTTTTCCCTCCTTAATGTAGGTGCTCATGGAGACGCTGAGTGCTTTAGGGGCTCAGTGTCGATGGGCTGCTTGCAATATCTACTCTACCCTCAATGAAGTGGCTGCTGCTCTTGCAGAAAGCGGTAGGAAAATTTCCCCATTCTCTGTGCTTTATACAAAGTGTAACCGGGGGTGGTGGTGGTAGTGATGATGGAGAGAAGAGGTGTCTATCTGTTTAATGTAAGTACTTTACCAGATTCTGCTTGCAGACTTACATTTATTTCCATGGAACTGTTTTGAACCTTACCTATTGTAGGATTCCTCTCCCCAGGTGGCATGAACACTGGGAAACACAGATTTTTTTCTGATCTTACTTTCATTTTTTGCTTCTCTCCCGTCATTCATAGTGAAGTTGATTTGTTACTGTACAATCATCTAATGCGTAACTGTTATTGAAGATTGGTTTATACTGTGTTATTAGTTACTGGAGTACTGGGTCAGATGCTTTGACATGTTATTGTTAGGATACTTATGAAAACCATACATTTTTCCTCTTTAAAGAAACATATTATGGATTCCTTTCCTAGAAGGAGGGGTAGACAAGAAAGTCAAAAACCAAAATAGTACATTCCCTTCCCTGCCAATTTTCCTAGAAGTAATTTATCCTCATTTAAAATTCAATGTTTCTGCCTCAGCAATTAAGAGATCAACCTGAAAAATTAATATTTGATCACAAATTCCATCTTTCTGTCCCTAAAAGATTAGGGAAACTAAATAAATCCAGGTTCTTAGATTCACTTCTGTCCTCAGCCTCAATTGCTGACATTTTGGGGTTGCAGAATGGACTGGTGCTCCAGAGACTTAGTGGGGAGCTTGTGAGAGAGGCCTGCCAAACTCTTCCAAAATCTGGCCCTTTCTTTTGCCTTCACTAATCATTGTAGCACATATTCCTTCCATCACCTCGAGGCTTTTGGCATAGTGGAAAGAGTCCTGAATTTGGAGTCAGCACTCTCTGCTCACTTGACCTATTCGCCCTTGGACAGATCACTTCTGGGCCTGAGGCTCTTCATCTATAAAATGAGGAGTTTGACTGTTGTCTCTAAGGTCTCTTCCAGTTTAAAATTCTCTTGAGTTAGTATATCCCTACTGTATACACAGAGCCAGATTAAGAATGCTATTGATTGAGGGCAGTTAGGTGGTGCAGTGGATAGAGCACCAGCCCTGAAGTCAGGAGGACCTGAGTTCCATTCCAGCTTCAGACCAGATACTTGACACTTACTAGCTGTGTGACCCTGGGCAAGTCACTTAACCCCAATTGCCTAAAAAAAAATAAAAAATAATGCTGTTGATTGTGTGAAGTTGAATCAAACAGAAGTACCTACATTTAAATAATTTAAAATCTAGTATGTGATAATATGATGAATGTGTTGTGATGTGTGATAAATGCCCTAAGAAAGGTACAATTAAATTGCCAGGAAAGTTCAGAGAAGCATTACTTGTGCCTGCGGTGATCAGGAAGGAATCGTGGGTGAGGTACCTTTGAGCTGGACCTTGGAGGGTGGAATGTTTGATAAGTATAGAGGATGGGGAGCAGTCTAGGCACAGGAAAGGCACAAGCATAGAGAAAATGAAATTCACGGCACGTTTGTGGAGGAGCCAGAACAGTTTGAAGGGAGAGTTAGGTGCTTCTCTCTGATTTGTTTACTCTGTCATACCATTTAGTATTAGAGGAAGAGTAGCTACACTTTGGATCCCCTTGCTCTCTAGGCACATGAGAGCAAAAATTCACTTGCAGAGGCAAGAAGTCCCTGAAACATACTGAAGGGAATACCAGAGAGTAAAGAAGAGAGCCTCCAAGGGCTCAATCTGTGGGCAGGCTGAGAGCCAGGGTTGAGATCTCAGGGATATGAGTGCCTCCTGCCCATACTTTAGGTTCCTCTTAAGTCTTCCATGGTGTCTCTTTATCCTTTTTCCTCAGGATTTCCTGTCTTTGCGTGGAAAGGAGAATCAGAAGATGACTTCTGGTGGTGCATTGACCGCTGTGTGAATGTAGAGGGGTGGCAGCCCAACATGGTGGGTCAGATCACAGATCTACAAGGGTAGGGTGGCCAACGACTGAGGGAGGTTGAAAGTGTGGCCTAGTCAAGTAGGAGCCACAGTTCTAAGGCTTGGCTAGAAAGTCCTTCCTTTGTTTTCTTCTAGATAGGCCAGTTAATTTCCTTAAGAAAAGCTTGGGGGCAGCTAGGTGGTACAGTGGATAGAACTCTGGGTCTGGAGTTCAGATCCAGCTTCAGACACTTACTAGCTGTGTAACCCTGGGCGTACCACTTAACCTCTATTTGCTTCAGTCTCCTTCTCTGTAAAATGGGGATCATCTTAGCACCTGTCTCCTGGGGTTGTTGTGAGGATTAAAATAGATAGTAATTGTAAAGTAAACATTAGCTATCATCATTATTGTCAGTGACAGTTTACCTGATTTTTTTCCAGTTATTTTAGGGAATTCTCTGTGATCAGATTCTTCTAATACAGTTTTATCCTTAAACTACCTTGATTAGTATTTACAAGAAAAATAGATAATCTATTTGGGGACATTTTTATTAACCAATAGCTTGAAAAGTCTCCCCCAATTTCAAATTTTCCATGTTACAAAGGTGGGTAGTGAAACAGCCTCAAAGACCTGACCATTGTGAGTCCTCTCTCCAGGTCCTAGAGACTAAACTTCTGCACAAAACATTCAAGACATTTCAGTTTCACTCCTCAGCTTTCACCAATACTTCCAACCATTGTAAAAGTGACCTGATTGTTGTGCTTAAAGAAGATTAGGACTTAAGGGTGAATGGCACATTTGGATACTGAGACAAAGGAGTAGAAAGAGGGAGTCCTTGGCTACTTTTCACAGCACTTCTGCATACCACTGAGGGGAGAGATTAGTGAATTAACTCTGAAACTCTTAAATCTCTGGGTCTAAACATTGCTTGCAACCAAAAGGGAAGGGGGAATAAGCAATTAGTAAGCAGCATTTTACAAATATTATCTCATTTGATCCCCACAACAACCCTGGAGGTAAGTGCTATTATTATCCCCATTTATCTTTTGTTAAGTACATGCAAAGTTTATTAAAAATAGGTTGCAATTGAAATACAGTAGAAATGGGAAACTATAGAAGTTTTGATGCTTTTTTTCCATAATAATGCATAAATAATTATGAAAAGCATTTTTACATATATATTCACATTGTATTTGAATACCCAATGATGGCCAAGTCCAGTTTTGATTAAACCATTTATGGTTTCCAGATACATACATACTTACATATAGTCTTATTATTATATTATAATATGTATAAATTGGTAGGTATAAAGCTGAATTTGAACTCAGGTCTTCCTAACTCCAGGCCCAGCTCTCTATGTGCTGTACCTCTATTCTGAACTGCCTCAGAGCACAGAGAATGTTATGTACAGGATCAAAGGAACTATAAATCAGAGGAACTGAGACTACAGAGATAGCGCTGGTGCAGTATATATATTGGTAGATTCTACTTTGTTCTTCCTCTTTCCCATCCTCCTACGGGCAGTGTGGCATTATCTGTGTTCATGTTCCTTTATGCCAAGTGAAGATATAGTTTTTGTTTGTTTAGAGAACTGGGGTGAATAGCTTAAAATCCTTAGGGATTTTAGTTGAACATGTACTAATAAAGAATTTAATAATGATGGGGAAAAGTGTGACAAATAAAAGCTAAAGGATTTTTCCTGAGGAAGAAAGCCATAATTCTAACCACCAACCAAGGGGGAAATTCAAGTTTATATCAAAATGTTTATAAATTGTGTAAAACTCTCAGAGTGCTGGGTCTGGAGTTCAGACTCAGGAAGACCTGAGTTCAAATCCAGCTTCAGACACTAGCTGAAGAAGAATAAGATAATGTCAGATGAGGCTTTACTCCAAGAAAATGTGGCCTTACATCTGATGTTTGAGCTCTATTAAGGTCTAGTGATTTTTTCTTGGTTTCTACCATCCTGGAGATTTCTACAGAGTGATGAAAATTTTTTTACAATCAAAATAATATGTTGTGTTCTCGTTGGTTACATTCATTAATGATTAAGAAAGGCAGCTTTCTCCTATGAACCTAGGAAAATATAAAAATTGGAAGGAAAAGGTAGGAATCTGTAGTGTTTCCATTTGTTTCATTACCTTAGTCTTTTATTGAATGGTTTTAGGAAATGGAGAATATAAGGGAAAATCCAGAAATAATATCAAATGTAGAGATGGAAAGAGAAATGTTAAAGAAACCTTCCAGTTTCCTTAGGGAACCCTGTGCTTACATGTGTCTGCCACTGGAAAAGGACGTATTAGCTTGTAAGATGGAATTGGTACAAAAAATTTTGATGTGAATTCTGGCTTGGATCCCTGTGCTCACCATTTTTTTCCCAGGCAAATTTTTTTCCAGTTAAAGAAAATAGACAAACAACAGGAGCTGAAGTAAGATGGAGGACCAATAGTGGTGAGGTTAGGGAGCCTGTGTCCTCCAGAGGTACAGAAAGGCATTTTGGACACTTGACAGTTTCGTTGATAAATTAAGAGCGAGGGTAGATCCTGCTGGACTATAGGAGGAGTTACATGCTAGGAGAAGGTAAGTCAAAAAATTGGAAGGCTTTGGCACAGACATCATCAATGCAGTTAAAATGAGAAGGGAAAGGATTCATTGGGAAAAATTATTGCAGTAAGTTTCTCAGGTAAAAGGAAGGGAGGTTAGTAATTGTGATGATCAAAAAAAAGTTGAAAAAAGCAAACTGTAACTAATAAGAAATTCAAGATTTCATGCAATCCTCTTTTCTTTTCTCCTATCTGAATGGAAATTTTCATGTTTCCATAGTCAGATATGTGAATGGGGGATGTGCAAGTGAGAAGTTGAGGATGATACAGGTTGCAACCTGGGTGACTAGGAGAACAGTAGTGCTCTCACCAGTATTAGGAAAGTTTTGCTAGTATTTGTCAAGTTCAGAATAACAAAACTTTAAAATTAAAAAAAAAAACAAAACTAGGTAAACTACATCTAGATCATTCCCCTCATCTGTTGATATATTAACACTGTTTGGTGTCACCTATTCTTGAAGAAATCATCATGTCTCTTTGTTTACACCACTTCCTGTTTTAAATGTTGACTAACTATCTCTTTAGCAATACATTTTAAAGTTTCGTCAGGAATTGAATTCTAACTCAGCTGATCTGTTGTTTGCTTGTATACTCCATTCTCTTTTTTTTTCTTCAGAAATTCAGAACATTTATTCCTTTCCAGCCTTGAAGTACCTCTTGAACTCCCTATACATTTTCAAATATCACTGACATTGACTTAATAATCACACTGGCCACTTCTTCTAGTACCCAGGCGACTTAAACTCTTTAAAGGAGCTAGGTGCCTTCTTTTTGTATCCTTACTTACCTTGAGTGTTAACTCCCATTTAGCTATTTTTGTTCTATCCTTTTGAGTGCAATAAGAAATTTATCATTTGGACTTTTGACTTGGTCTTAATGCGTAGAGAATGCCAAATGGGAAGGTAATTTTAAGATGAGAAATATAACTCTAACCCATTATATCATTCTTAAATTTATTCCAGTGTAATCAAGATTTTTTGTGGGTTTTTTGTATTGACTGCAAGGCATTGATTACACATATTTAGGATGATTTCTGTAACCAACCTGAAGGATTGGCAAGTTAGTTAGTAAATAAGACAGGTTCTAGAATGAGACCTAAAGGAACAAGTGTAACCTCAAACTGTCCATAAAATGAATAGTGTAATTATTATTGGTCCTTGTTATTGCAGATCTTGGATGATGGAGGGGACCTAACCCATTGGATTTACAAGAAGTATCCCAACATGTTTAAGAAAATCAAGGGTATAGTAGAAGAGAGTGTTACAGGAGTTCACAGGTAAGAAGCATCATGGGAACCTCTGCTTTATTATATAGCTTAGATTCTTCTCTTTTAGCTATCATCGCGTGCCATAATGGAAAGAACATTGTAGGCAGAACACCCTACTTCAAGTCCCCACCCTGTCATATACTTGTTTATAACTTTGGGCAAATCACTGAACCTTACTAAGCCACAGTTTTCCCATCTGAAAAGTGAGGATAATAACTATAGTACTTACCTCACAAGATTATTGTGAAGAAAGTGCTTTGTAAATAATAAAGTGCCACATAAATATAAGCTTTCCCATGTTGGAAATTTGAACATAATTTGATTGCGATAAGTTTTTATTTTTATTCTACCCTTAGAGCCAAATTGGTCAAGCTAATCTTTCCCTCTAAATATTCCCCTCTTCCTAACGTTCCGATTACTGTTGAGAATACTGTTATCTCCCAGTCCCCCAGGTTGCTCTTCACTTGCACTCTTCCCCCTTGTATCCAATTGATTGTCAGATCATATCATTTCTACAGTAACAGCATTTCTCATACACTTCCCCTTCTCTCTCCTCACATAGTCAGTACGCTGGTGCAGATCCTTATCCCCTCAAGTCAGGACTATTACAGGAGATTCCACCTTTGTCTCCCTTCCTCAGGCCCCTCCCTACTCCAGTCCCTCCTCATTCAGCTGCCAAAATGATTATTCTAAAGTGCAGGTCTAACCATGTCATCCTCTACTCAGTAAATGCCAGTGGCTCCCCATTAGCACCAGGATCAAAAGTAAAATGCTCTTTGAGGCATCTGAACCCTTACCAACCTGGCCTCTTGGTGCCTTTCTTGTCCTCTTCCACTCTACTCCCCTCCATATCCACTGTGATCAGACTTTCTGGCCTTTTAGCTGATCCTTACACACATCATTCCCTCACTCATTTTGTACCCTGTGCCTTTTCACTAACTGTTCCTGAAACCTGGAATGCCATTCCTCCTCACCTCCTACCTATCGACTTTCGTGGTTTCCTTCAAACCCCATCTTCTGCAAGGGGCATTTCTAGGACCTTTTCCTGCTATTGCCTGCCCTCTGAGATCACCTTATATTTACTCTGTATGTGTCTAATACAGATAGTTATCTGCATATTATTTCCCTGAGGGCAGGAATTGTGTTTTTGCCTTTCTTTTTGTTCCCAGTACTTAGCATTGTGCCTGGCACACAGTAAGCACTGAATTGAAAACTCATTGATGGATTGACTATTCAAACTCCTGTTTTTAGATTTGATAACACATAAGTCAAAAGGAGAGAAAAATCATCCTCACAGTTCCCGCTTGATAATAATGTAAAATTTTCCTCGTTGAGCTTCTGTTCACAATTATTGGTTGGCTTTGTATTTTAATTCTAGAGAATGCAATGGTAATAGCTCACATTTAAGGTTCACAGTGTGCTTCAGTTACCCTGTGTTGAAGTTTAAGAAATGCAAACATTATTAGCCCAGTTTTACAGATAATATTCAGGGAAGTAAAGTAACTTGACTGTAGGTGCCCAACTAGGGTCAGAGGCCAGAATCAAACCCCCTCAATAACTTAGGAGTCAGAGTTCCTGTTTTCTGTTCCTCAGACCACTAACTCTTGGAGTGACCTTGGGATCACTTCTGCTCATTGTATTTCAGTGGTAAAGAGCAGAATCTGAAACAAAAGCTATGGAGCAGTAACTTAAATATGGTACCACAGCTTATAGAAAATTACCACTTTTTGGAGCCTGTAAAATTCGAAGTCACTCCATGCTAATAAAAAGGATAGTATGATCCTAGGGATAATATACTGTTTTGGAAATGGAAATCTCTATTCTGTTTGACTCCTTTTGTTATCTTGAATAAGTTTCTTGTTCGCTTTGGACTTCCAGTTATGGATTTCCTCATTCATTGAATATTTGTCCTACAACTCTGTGGCAGATATTGAGGCACATACATGAATGACCAAGACAACTTCTGTGTCCAGGAAAAGCTCCCAGTATGGTAGTGGAGTATGGATAGGAGAGAGCATTAAGTACAGCAAAGAGGCACAAAGTAGGGATCCCTCAGGGTGGAGCCCAGTGCAGTGTCTCAGCAGCTTATGTTCCTCTGTTTCCCTCACCCTCACAGGCTGTACCAGTTATCCAAGGCTGGGAAGCTGTGTGTGCCAGCCATGAATGTCAATGACTCAGTTACCAAACAGAAGTTTGACAACCTCTACTGCTGCCGGGAGTCCATTCTTGATGGGTATGTAACAAACATCCCCAGGGAATGCTTCATTTGGCCAGGAGGAGTTCTGGGCTCCTTTTCTTTCTTCCTTTCTTTTTTTTTTTTTAATCTTTTTTTTTTTTAAGGCAATTGGAGTTAAGTGACTTGCCCAGAGTCACTCAGCTAGTGTCAAGTGTTTGGTCTGAGGCCGGATTTGAACTCGGGTCCTCCGGACTCCAGGGCCAGTGCTCTATCCATTGCACCATCCAGCTGCCCCTGGGCTCCTTTTCTGAATAAATGCTATGAGTCAAGGGCAGGTCAGGGTTCTGGGATTGTAAGTGCTTCATGCTTAACATTTAATAACTAAGATTTATGATTATGAAAGTTCTGCATTATTTAGAAAAATCAGTCTAGTTTTTTGCTCAGTCGTTGGAAGCTCCCACTTTTTGTGAATTCAGTAACTGAAGTTAGTCCAAGGAAGCAACCACTTTGCTAGAAAGCTGTGATAGCAAGTGCCTCTAGTTCTTAAACTAGCTCTATGCTATCACATAGCAGTCATGTGTGGCTATCTGGCAACTTTCACTGGACACAGAATAATTCCCAGTGGTGATTTGAAGGTATTAGCACAGGTTTCTAGCCTTGGTTGTGTCTGCAGCAGCAGCAGCTGCCAAGATGTTGAGATCGAAGAAGATCCAAATTGCCATCTACAAACTCCTTTTTAAGGAGTAGTGCTGGCCAAGAACAATGTCCATATGCTAAAGCACCCTGAGCTGGCAGAAAAGAATGCGCCATGAAGGCCATGTAGTCTTAGATATTACATGGCTCTGGGATTTCCGTCAGTTTGCATAGACACATTCGTATTAATACCTTACCAGTAAGGGAGTTCAGTATCTCTAGGATTATTTTCACCTGCCCCCTGAGATTGTGCCTGCTGCACTTTGAAGAAATCACCTTGGCCTACCTTTGCTGGCTTACGTGGGATGAAGGTGACAGAGACCTATACAGATCAAATGCTCCTCTCCCTGATGCTGGGTCAACAACAGAATTTAATTTAGAGATGGATTTGATTATAGATATAGTCAACATCTTTAATGAAAACTACAGAGATTTGTTTCATATTGAATAAAATAAAATTTGGAGGAAATATTATTTCCAAGTATTATTTCCAAATAGTATAGGAAGTATTAGGATGGCAAAGGCTGACCATCTGGAGGAACTCATCTAGATATGGACCAAGTACCAATATGACTCTTTTCCTTTTTTTCCTTCTTATACCTCTTCCTGACTTTCCCACCTAACTTTAGCATGGAAGGCTATATGAATAGCAAGGAATGCCCTATATGAAGCTTTTAAATTGTTGCTTAGTGTTGTTTGAAAATTGTTTTTGCTAGATGGTTTCCAGCATATCTGTGTTGGGATGTCACACAGTTAGTGGAAAGGGGAAGAATGGACAAAGGGACCTTATACTCAATAAGTAATCCTCTACCAAGGTTTACTTTACCTTCTAGGACCTTAGCAGTGAGTTCTGAAAACTAGATAGGTAGATCTTAAGGGTGACACGTTGCTTCAAAGTCTTTCTGGCAATGTGATTATTGAATGCCAATACTGTTGTATAGAGCATTATTGCTGTCCTGTTTGATTGTATTAATCAAATGGATTGAGAGATAACTGAGCACTTGGCTAGGCTTGTAGATGTTCAGTGGAAACAACTGTCTTTTAGATGCTCACTGGTTAGTTTATCCTGGCAAAAATAAGACCCTGAGTAAAGAAGACTTTCCTGGGGCAGCTAGTTGGTGCAGTAGATAGAGCTCCAGCCCTGGAGTCAGGGGTTCAGACTTTCCTGCTGAATAGGGCAGTTTTTCTAAAGAAGATGATTGCAGAAGGCAGAAAGATGAAGAAAGGAGTTATTTGTGTGCTCCAGGGTGCAGCCCAAGTGAAAGGGAAGAATTTTTAGACCTAGGGCTACGCATCGTCCATGGGCTCCATGGAAAGAAGGCTGTAATGACTGACTTTGTATCCAAAGCAGTTCAGAAATGACCTTTAACTTGGTCAAAGGATGCCAATGCCCGGTGACTGCCGAGTCTTTGGGAAATTTGAGTGACATTATGTAGTATGTGTGAGGACTTGTCTCCCATAGCTCCAAAGAGGCCTGAAGCTGTTTATCAGTTAAAAAATAAAGCATGGACTGGGTACTGTTATAGAGGGCCCGAGGATAGATAAGCTAGGGAAAAGTTAAAGAAGAACCTAGCATTCAACATCAGTCATCTTTCAGGGAAATCCTTCTTGACCATAGTCTTTGCTGTCTTTTCCTCTAATGTTGAGAAATTGACTCTGTAAGATCACAAGGACTGTACTGAACAGGCAAAGTCTCTTGGGAGCCGGGTGCCAGTCAGGCTCCAAGATCCCTGTGGTATTCGTTCTTCTACCCCACTTTGCAATGCTTTTTGGGAGTCCTGCAGTGGGATCACCACCACCTGAGTGGGGATAGAAAGGTTTGATCTTACTTGATAATATCATAAGCATAAGAGACTCAGAGAGATACGTTCATCGGTGGGATTTTTAAATTCCCTTGCTGATGACTGGTGCCTGGGACCACCATGTTCCTTCATGAGTAGTGTCACGTACAAACTAATTTCTCTTCATTAGGGTAACAGTTCTTACCCTGTTTACTTAATTAATATCTGCAACATACAGGGCATAGTATGTTAAATGCTGTAGGGTAAAGGCATGTACAATTCCTGGCCAGTTTCTACATTTTAAGCAAGATAGATAAATAAACAGACAGAAAGACAACACAAAGATATGTGGTGAAGAATGCTTTGGACACAAATCCAACATGTCCTTCTGCCTACTTAGGGAAGGACTCTTAAAAAAGATGAACTCAGATTCTAAACTGGGACCTCAGTAGCCTTCGGTGTATGCTACTAATATCTACTCAGAGAATTTGGTAATTATGGGAACCAGCACCATGAAGAACCATAAATCAAAGAGGTGGTGTGTAACACTGATAAATGCATTCAAGAGAATCAGCCTCAGAAAAATCCTACTGTCTGGGAGTCAGATTTTTCTAGCATGGTTCAAGGTTCCTCCCTATCCTAAATAGACAACTTATCCTCTTGGAGTCCTATGGGATCTATTGTCCAGTCTGATACTACTGACTCATTTATCAAGGGAAGTCTTTGCTTTTTCATTTTAAAGCAACAAACCAAAAGAGCTCTTTTGATCCTTAAACCCATGTTTTCTTTTGTTTGATTTTTTCCTGAAGGGGATAGGGGAGGGGGAGAGAAGAGGAGAGGGGATACAATTTTCTTTCTTCTTTTTTTTTTTAATTAAATTTTTCAATGGACAAAAATTTATTTTCTTTCCCTCTCACTTCATGTATAAAAGTGCTTAGCAAAGTGCCTGGCATATAGTCAGTGCTATGTAAATGCTTATTCCTTTCTCCCTCCCCTCCCCTCTCCCATCATTAAGAAATCAAGGAAATCAAAGCACTTGTATCAGATGTGCATAGGTAAGCAAAACAAATTTCTGCATTGGTCATGTTTGAAAAATGTCTCTGTTTGTACTGAGTCCATCACATCTCTGTCAGGAGGAAGATAGAATGTGGGTTTTTTGGGGGGTAGGGGGGTATCATTAGTCTTTTGGTATTGTGTTTGGGTATGGAATTGATCAGAGTTCTCAAATCTCTCAAAGCTGTTTGTCTTTACATTGTTGTTATTATGGTACAAATTGTTCTCCTGGTTCTACTCACTTCACTCTGCATCAGTTTATGCAAGTCTTCTCAACTTTCTCTGATACAATTTGCTTCATCTTTTGATACCTCAAATAAGTTTTTATAGGACTTCTGTCTCTGAGACTTTAAATTAAAATGTTTTTCTTGAGGTGTTCAAAACTTGTTTTTCTTTCTAAATTTTACAAAGAAGAACTGCAGTGCAAATTGAGAAGATGCAGTCTGGCATAGAGGGACAAACAAGGTAGGCAGCAAGTTGTTCTAATGCCTAATTGGTATTTTTCCCTCCCCCAGGCTTAAAAGGACAACAGACATGATGTTTGGTGGGAAGCAAGTGGTGGTCTGTGGCTATGGAGAGGTAAAGTTTAGTCTTTCACAGAACTGGTGATTCATTGTATCATCTAAACACTTTTCCAGATTGCACACATTAGAGAAGGTCTAGGTGTGGGTTACAGTATTCCTCTACTTCCATCTTTAACCCTGGAATGTTATTTTAGAGGCCATCTAATTAGAATACAATTTGTCATTTTCTCTTTTCAATTTACCATTTTCTGTCAACTTGATTTTCTGGCTCATTCCTGTCCCACTGTCTGTGATGTTCTTTTAGTTTGTGTTTTGAATGTAGTTCGTGAGTGTGGGTGTTTTTGTGTATATGAATGTGTGAGGCAAGAGGCTGCAGAGGTGTTTCTAAAATGGCATTCAATTCTTTGTTTTCTTTTTCCTCCCCCAAGCATGGATCTTTTCAGTGAAATTCCTGGGGGTGGTCGGAGGGGGCTTCAGAAATTTTGCCGAGACTTTGAGAAACTACCCTGTGACTGATTTTCTTCTCACTTGTCTTTGGTCTTCTCTTTAGGTGGGAAAAGGGTGCTGTGCTGCCCTGAAGGCCATGGGTTCCATAGTGTATGTGACTGAGATTGACCCCATCTGTGCCCTGCAGGCCTGGTAAGCATTGAGGTGGAGCCTTAGGTTCTTGACACTTCCCATTTAAAAAAAAAAAAAAAAATTGCATGGCTTTGATCTAACTAGGACCACAAAAGAAATTTTCTTTGGTTCCCATGTATCTCAGTCCCTGACAGCTTCTAACAAGAACAGGAACCCTTTAAGATGACATGTGGCATTGCCCAGGCTAGTCTGTTCAAGAGTTTGCAACCATATGATGATTATAGCATGGAAGGTCCGGGATAAAATTTAGAATTTCTTTAGAAATAGAACAGGGAAGAGATTGTTCAGACCCAGAACATAAAAAAAATCATTTTCCTTCTCATGTTCAGCCCTTGCTGTTTGAGTAACAGTGTTTGCCTTCTTGTCCTTCTAATTTATGTGTGCGTGTGTGTGTGTGTGTGTGTGTTTAAAATAACTTTATTTTATTTTTATGAAGATTTTCTCCCTCCCAACTTTCCATCCCTTCCCCCAGTTGAGGCAAGAAAAATAAAACCCATATTACAAACATATAATCAGGCAAAACAAATTCTTGCATTGGCTATGTCAAAAAAAAAATGCCTCCATCTGCCTTCTGAGTCCATCAACTCCTTCACAGAAAGTAGATAGCATGCTTTTCATGAGTCCTCTGGAGTTGTGATTGGTCATTGTATTGATCAGAGGTTCTAAGTCTTTAAGAGGTGTTTGTCTTTGCGGTGTTGTTGTTTAAGTAGAGGCATCTGGGGTAGAAGAATGGGTTAGTGAAACTAGAATCTATTCTGGTTTCTATGAGTGAAGGCTCAGCTCTGTAAAAGGACTTGCTACTCTTTATAATGCTCCAATATGAATTATAGGACCAACAGCACACTGAAATAGAATGAAGATCAGTTTCTGACTGCCACTCTTTCCCCATCGAGGTTCTTGAAGCCAACTGTGGTTCCTCACTATTTGGAGGAAATATATCTAGTATCTCACCAGACCTTTTTTCTGTGCTATGTGTCCTAAGAAGGTATTATTCCCAGTATTAGGAATAACCCAGGTGTATCAAGAAAACCAAGTAGGGAGACTTGGTATGAACTTGGGAGTTGCTGTGCAGTTAGTGTGTCCCGCTTTTCTCTTCTCACACCTGCCCCCTTGAATTAAGCGCTTGGGTTTTATCTCTACAGCATGGATGGATTTCGGCTTGTGAAACTGAATGAGGTCATCCGGCAAGTGGACATTGTCATCACTTGTACTGGTAGGACAGTGACAACAGAAATGGGTGGGGTTAAGGAGCATGTCAGGGAGCAAAAGTAATGAAACTTAGTAAAAATATTCTAGGCAAACTAAAAAAAATACATGTCAGGGTCCCAAGAACTGGTAGCTTATTAATTTTCTAACCTCCCTGGAGATTATAAACCAAGGTGCAACTTTGGTATAAACTGACCCTGCAGTGCTTTAGCTTAAACAATCTCAGAAAGAGACACTCAGGAGTCTCCTTAAGGTTCATAAAGATGTTTCTTTGAGTGATAATCTCACACAAGGGTGAGGGAAGGAGGAGGATCTCTTTGCAAATTTTTACATAGGGATCCAGAATTTAAATTTGTGCCACCTCCCCACCCCCACCTCATTCATCTCCATCAACAGTCATGAATTTCCTTCTCAGTTGGCCCCAGTGATGGAGGCAACAGAGTATAGTGAAAAAAGCACTTACTCTGAAGTAGGGAGACTTGTGTTCAAACCCCAACAGTTTACAACCTCTGTGACTTCAAGGCAAGACATTGAATGTCCCTGGGTCTCAGGTTCCCCAGCTTTAAAATGAGAAATCCTCTGAGGTCCCTTCCAGCTCTAAGACATCAATGACCCTTCCATCATGGCAACATCAACATAAAGTTGTTCATAGTTGGGAGAGAAAGGGAGCCAATCTGATTAACTCCCAAACACATCAAAAGAGATGAATTTTAAGTTTTGAAAGGAAGACAGGAGCAGGCCTCATTGTCCTTGACTCAATCCACGTATATTCTTTCTTCCTTGTAGTAAAACTACATGCCCTAGAAATACTGACTGTCTCATTCACAACTCAGTAGGTCTTTGAAATTCTGACTTGAAGGGAACAACCCTAATATTTAAAAAATAGATATGTCTTTGTAGCCTCAGGGAAAGCTTGGGGAGGGGAAGAGATAACGAGAAGCTGGGCCTGCTTCATGCTTCTTACTCATTGCCTAACTTTCTTTTTAAGGTAATAAGAATGTGGTGACAAGAGAGCACTTAGACCGAATGAAGAACAGCTGCATTGTTTGTAACATGGGACATTCCAATACTGAGATTGACGTGGTAAGATATATACAGGCCCCCTTCAGTTTGGGTGACCTTTTTTGCTCTCTCCCATGGGCTGCTGCAGAGGGCACTGAAAACCTGGGAAAAGAGAGAGACAAAGGTCGTTGTGCATCCTTAGTAGAGATGACCTGACTGGCTCACCCACAGTGAGCTTGTGCTTTTTCATATTGCAAAGTTTCTTCCCAACTTAAGTATTTCACATAGGAGCCTTTTCCCATCACATACTTGAGACTTACATTTCCATTCCTGTAGATGTAGATCTTGGAAGGTGCTTAATCATTTTGGCCCTTTGACCTTTGACCTATTCAGTCACCCTCTAGAAATTTTCTCTATACTATGTTAACTAAGCCCCTGTGTATTTATAACCATGATGGTGTTACTTTCTGTATTGTATTTTCATCAGACCTGGAAAATGTATCATCCTGGTCCTTTTTTCACTATTCATCCTAATTATGTTTACTCAGACATAGCACCAGGTCTCACTCTGTTATTCATAATAGTGAAGTAGGAGATGTCATGTACTTATTTCCAAATTTGTCAGAGCCAATGAAAGTATAACTTTCACTTTGGCTTTAAATTCTTTTTGCGTGTTTCTTCCACAGTTGTATTACTCTGTGGGTGGCAGACCCAGGAAAAACTCTCATCACCACCGGGGTACTCTGCCTGTCAGTATTGCCTAGTAAGGAATTATTAATGTATTGAGAGTCCTTCTTTTTAACAGTTAGATAATATCTTCTTAGTCAGGTTGCTTTGTATAACTCTCTTCTCTGTTCATTGGTCAGTAAAAAGACAATAAAAATAGCTAGAAAAAAAAACATTTTAGCAAAGCCTTACTTCTGTCTCTGGGGTGCCAAAGTGGTTCAGTTCCACTGAGCTCTCCCATCATGTTCCAATTATTAATTTAGTTGATTTGATTTTTTTGCTAGTTTCCTTTGTTGTCACATAATTCCTTTGCTGAAAGGTCAGATAATTAAATTTCCAAACCTCCTCATCTTCCCCCCTACCAGCCTGCAAAACATGCAGAAGCCCACACACCATATTAGCCCTTAACTAAATTCCTTCTCGAATCATTCTGGTTAGCTATTCCCCAAATGAGAAGATCCCAAAAGGAGGGAGTAGTCTTGCCCTGAGTCCTGTTAGGAAATCATTCAGTCAGGTGAGGAGAAAGGAGTTCTTTGAAACTCTTAAGAAGTTTCCAAAAAAATCCCATGAGATGATATTTAAATGTGAAGAAATTGAGACAGACTAAGCTAACTACTCACTGTAGTGGAAAGAATGCTGGACTTGGAGTCAGCAGAAACTTGGATATTAATCCCGCCTCTGATTCTCAGTAACTGTGTAACCACAGGCAACTCAATTAACCTCTCTTAACCTCAGTTTTCTAAATTGTCAAGTGGAGTAACTCTACCTATAGTACCTACTTTACAAGGTTTTTGTGAAAATCAAATTAGATAATGGATGTAGAGTGCTTTAACAGACTTAAACATGCTATTTACATAACACCTATTATTGTTGCTTAAGACTAACTTTGAATTATCCAAAGATCTCTGACCAGGTCATAGGTTTTCTTCAAGGTTCTTTCCAACATCCCCTTCTGATACAGCCTTAGTCTCCTGGAAATTTTCTTCGTGTTTAGCCTCCTAGCTTTTCCACCAAACTGAAAAAAGGCTAGGACCAGATACAGTTTTCCTCCCCAAACCAGAATATAAATAGCCTCTTAGAATAAAAGACAGGGTAAGTATCTGCTGGTTTTGAGGGTACTACAAAACTGTCAGCATCACAAACAATAAATGGATATTGTGTCAGCTTCCATATTTTTTTGTCTTGAAACTTTGAGCCCCTTCCCAGTAATTGACTTACAAGGGAAATTCCTTATTCTTACTTCTGCATATAGTTTTAGGGACATGACTTGACATCTTTGCCAGAATTATATTTTATACATATTCACAGAATTTTATACTTGGAATTGTGATCAGTGCATTTTTAGGAAGGGGAGGCATCCTGCAAGGAAAAGACAAATATTTAGAAAGATGGATTCCATTCCAAGAAGCTTTGGTTCTCTGAACCCTCCAGGCTAAACAGTAGAGAATACAATTTTTGGCCCATGCTTATTTCTTTCTTTCATAGTAGCTCTTTCACCTATGGACAGCAAATGGCATCTATGTAATCTGTTATTGGCATCAAGAATGCAAACTTTGAAAACTGTTGCAAATTTTCATAACCTCAGAAGTCCATGACAGCTTGAGAATACCATAACGTTTAAGGTAGTGGCTTTGTATTTTCTCTGTGTGCCATGCCATAGGTTTGGAAAATCATTATAATAACCTCAAGGGAATGATTTGACTCAGAGGAAAACAATGCTTACCATCCAAAATCATAAAAACCTCATTTATTCTACAATGCTAATTTATTTCTACTATATACTATTAATAGTAATATCTCTATATAGTTGAAGAAGGTTATCTTCACAGAACATGCCTTTCCTGGTTGTTCCACTCGAGGTAGTTCCATTCAAGAAAATTAAATTATTTATTGCAATTTATCGTGGCAAAGAAAGAAGTATCACAAAAGAAATTGTACATTTTCAAGGAGCATTCTCATTAAGTTGTGATAGTCTGTTGAAGCATACTTCTTCCATATAGGAATATACCTGCCAAATGGAACAAAATACTCATATTCGTGGGTTTAAGCATTCTCTCATCTGGTCATTTGACTTTTTTTTTGAAGTCTACTCTATATTTTGGTGTTTGGCTACTGGGAATAATTGCTATTGCTCTTTGTGAGAACCTGGGACACTGTTAACCCTTGAAGTTCTCTGGAGCTGCTAGCTGAGCAGGCTTGTCAGGAGATAATTGGATTGCAGGTATCATTCTAGTTCTTCTATAAAATATAGAAACACCCTGAGTTCCAGTCCAGCCTCAGACACATAACACTGACTAGCTGTGTGACTCTGGGCAAGTCACTTAACCCCAATTGCCTCAACAAAAAAAAATTAAAGAATAAAATAAAATATAGAACCAGTATACTCCTAATATTCCAACTATATTTTACCGTAATTGATTATAATATAAAAATGTTTTTGGTTAATGTTGGTATGGGTTGGCTCAACCCATTACATAAATAAAGGAAAGAAATAGTCACCTCTGGATGCAAGGTTCATCGGGTTATACTACTGCCTGTGTATATGCAATAGGATGCTCCATATGCTTCACATTCTAAATCTATGATTAATATGTTAGAAGGACCAGATGATAGACTGGATAATAATGATGCTTGATGGGGATATTACATTTCTGAATATCTCTGCTTATGCCCTCTGAGTATTTTGTTGCTTTTGTCTCATTGGGTTGTAATAAAAATCATTTTATAAAAGGTGAAAAAAATAAAGTAAAATATAGAACCGGGCAAGATTAAAAGTCTGGTAGGGAGCTTGGAGCCCCTAAAGTTCCAGCATCAGAATGTTTAGGAAGAAAGCAAGCATTTGTCAACAAATGAAATGCCAGAGTTTTCAAGCCATTCCAGAGCACTTAACAAGGCATCAATCAACAGGCATTCAGGAAGGGATACCTTATGGTTGAGCATGGTGATCTCAGTGGCCCTGGTTGTAGCCTTCTTGTCTCTAACTTGCTATTGATTTTTGTTTTGTTTGGGCCCAAATTGTGCCTCTACCAGTGTAAGGCATCAGCTGCCCTGCAACTTAGAGTGTTAAAGAGTTGCCTGGAGCACTGAGAGGTTAAATACATACCCAGGGTCACACAGCCAATGCGTGCCAGGGGTAGAACTTGAAGCAAGGCTGGCTCTCTATCCACTGTCATACTACTTCTTTTTCCCTTTAATAATCCATTTATTCGAATTATTTTCAAATCACTTTACATCGTTGTTTTATACAACTCATCAGGGTAATAAATTCCATGTTTGTTACTCACTGGGTTGTCCTAAATATAATTTTACTTATGGTAATATAACTGTCAAATGGACCAAAATACTGGACTTTTTTTTTGTAAGGGTAGGCCTTTTATATCCTGGCTGCTGGATGAGTGAGTCGTTTGGGACAGAGAGATCTCCTCCCTTTGCCTTGGCAGTTTTCATCTTTGTCTTATAGGAAGAAGACAGTACAAAACAACTGGAAAAAGAAAATTGTATTATCTTGAGTCTGTGCTAGTGGATTTTGAACTGATTGCTTCTGCTAATTAACTAATGTTTTTTTTTTCCCCTTATTCTCTAAATATACAATATACAGATATCAAGAATGGGCTGCAGAGAGTTTTACTCTCTCATTGAGTAGTTTCTCTACGGGCAGCCTCCTATCTACACTTTAGGTCCTGGAATATGTGTGTGTATGTATTATGTAATACGTGTACACACACACACACGACATAAAAGTAAAGGGGGACCCATCATCCCTTCCACGTTGGATCCCAGGATAATGGGACATGGGGGCAGAGGCATGAGCCGTAGCATACTATATGTAGGATTCTTAGCTTTCTCTGACCAATTCCACCCAACTTAGTCCCTTTCTTCTGTGTCCCCCCCAGAATGTATGTATTCAGGTTGCACTATACTAATTTGCCCTTGTTTGCATGTCGCTTGTAAGTATTCTTAAGGGTTTTTTTCCACATGTGCGTGCATTCTGTCTTCAACTAAATTGTAAGCTCCCTCGAGGCAGAAACAATGTCTCTGGTTTCTTTTGTGTATTCCGTAGCACTTCAGACTGTGGGGTGTGATAAACTGAGTGAGCTCTCACTGAACCTAGGTTTAATCTCCTGAAATAGAATAGTCCCAAGCAGCCTAGGATAAGTCCTCCCTATCTGGCATGGTGGTTGTGTCCTTCAGCTTGCTATTTGAAATGCTCCCTTACCTTGTACCTCCTCGTCCCTGATGGTGAGACTCGCTATGCTAATAGGATGTTTTCTGCATGTGTTCTAGGCAAGTCTGCGTACACCAGAACTGACCTGGGAGCGGGTGAGATCTCAAGTTGATCATGTAATCTGGCCAGATGGAAAGAGAATAGTGTTATTGGCAGAGGTAAGCAAGCCTGGAAGATTATAACCCTGGGACAGAACATTGGTATCAGAGCTGGGCTAGACCTGGCAGAAAGCTTCAATGACTCTTTCCCACCCCCACGAAGACAAAATAATTGTAAGGACAGAGTGTTTTCCCTAGGACCACTACCTCCTTTTCCCCCTTTCCATATTGCCAGTTTCTTAACTCAGAAATTTAACTACTTTACCCATGACTTGTATTTCTAATTGTGAAAGGTCTTTTCATTCAGCAATTAAGAACCTATTTTGGTTCCCCACTTTTCACCAATTATCCTGTCTCCTCCTTTCACTCTGCAGGTTGAGTCAGACAGTGACTATTGCCATAGAAAGAATTAATGGATAGAACCAAAGCTACTTTGTGAGATGCTCTCAAAGTGATAATGTCATTTGTGGGAAGGTTTAAATCGTTTTAGTGAACATGAAGGGTAGATATTCCTGGCTGTAACCAAGGCTACGGTAGGCAGGTTCTGAAAACCACAGGCTTGATCTTCTATCTCACCCTTGCTCCTGTAGCACTATTCAATGTAGGGATGCTGAAAGTTTAGTTAAATATTTATTGGTTGATAGATTGATAATTCCCTATCTTGGGCCCTGTCCAATCTAATGTCATTCTCATTTCTGTCCTTTGTATTCCCAGGCCAGTGCTCTACCTTTTACTTTCTTGACCCCTTTTCCCCCTGGCATTAGGCTTCTGGCTGCTTTACTGTTACTCCTTCAGCCTGTCCTGAATCCTGTTTGCTCTGGATACTCTAGGCAAGAAACAGAAATAGCAAGGAGTATTATAGCCATTTCCCTGCATTTTCATTTTCCAAAGTTCCTTGTGCTTGTTGTTATTGTTATCATTTAAAAAAAATAAATTTAAAAACATTGAAATCTGTAGACTCAGAAATCTGGAAATATGGAAGTTTGGGGGCTCTCCGTCTCTTAGCCCAACCTCATCTGATTCTACCTTCCTAACTAAAACAAGGTGTTTCTAAGGAGGCTTTACCTATCTTCTTTCTTCACAGTACGAGTGGAGTACAGAATATTTAAATCTGTACCTTTGATGTTGCTTTGACGTCAGCTCCCTGTCTGGTGACTTATTTCTAGTTGCCTTAGGAAGGCTCACCTAGCAATTTTGAAGACAAAAGGAAGCATTGCAATTGTTTCTGACTGTTAGTGCTCAGAGTCTAGGAGAAAGGTTGTGAGGCTTCCCAGGGAACAAAGTGGGATGTGGGGGGAAGGGCTTTCTGGCACATCCATTCCCTACAAGCACCTGTAGTCAAACTATGGGTCAGACTTCCTTTAGACTCAGCAAGACAATGGAAGAAGGTGGAAGGAAGGCAGCTTTTCAAGAAAAAAAGCCTTCCAAATTCTCTGGAGCTCCAAGAGGAAGCTGGTCCAGGATGACCCAAATACTACTCCTCTTACCTTCATTTTCTGCCCAGATTTATTTTAGTAGTGCTCCTAAACAACAATTAATCAACAAGTGGGTGTTGTTATTGTTGTTTTTGTTTGTTTTTTTGTTTTTTTTTTTTTTAGTTTATGTCCCATCATGGTACTAAGTGTTGTGGCAGGTTGCAAACACGACTCCTCTTCTTCTCAGCTTATATGGTTGTGAAATATTTGTCTGTGGCTTGTCTTGGCCCTATAGCTTCAGGTAAGGGAGGTTGCCCCAACACTTGTGCATCTCCTTTGCTCCCTAGGGCCGCCTACTGAACCTGAGCTGCTCAACAGTGCCTACATTTGTGCTCTCCATCACTGCCACTACTCAGGTGAGGCCAGCAGAGTGAAGAATGGTCTTCTTGCCGGATTGTAGGTGATGGGATCCCAGGCTTGGTGGGAGTAGTCAGGGAGTCACCTTCTCTCTGCTTTATTTCCAGGCTCTGGCTCTGATAGAGCTGTACAATGCCCCTGAAGGACGCTATAAACAGGATGTCTACCTGCTGCCCAAGAAAATGGGTAAGGATGAGCCCCATCCAAAGCAGCCTCGAGTGAGGAGAGAAAGCCAAGCTCCTCTTCTTGATGGACGAGAGGAGAACTAGAGCCAAGCAGGGCTCCCTCAATTCTGCTCTAGTTGGGTCATTGAGATGCCCCATGCTTCATTGTATGCCTCCATCGTAGTGTCAGAGAAGGGAAAAGAGGTGGGAGGATTTGTGGTAGGCGCAGTACTTTCTATTGCAACAGCCTTAAAGAGAGAGGAAAAGGAGATGCTGGCCGACTGTAAGTGATTCTTGTAGTGTCACCTCTGCTTTGCTCCCTTCCCCCTGGACTGCTGATCACCCTAAGTCAAACCCCCCCTTTCTGACTAAACATCTCATGCTCCCACCCCCCAAACTCCAGCTTCAGTCTGGTGGGGGATTCATCACCTTCTGACTGTCAGTGTTCCTATAGGAGAAACAGAAACTTTATTTTTAAAAGGCACCTGACCTTTCTCAAGCACCTCAAGAGATTCAGTATTTTTCTAGGCTGCTGAGGTATAAGTGAAGGAGTAAGTCAAGAAATGGTCTTGCTTTTCTCTACCAGTCCCTTCAAACAGTTGCCAGTAAGTTAGTTGATAATATATTCCTGTCTTGAGCACTCTGAAGTGACAGAGAACTAAGACCAAAGCTCTGTCCTCAGAGTTGGCGATCTGGTTGGGGTGGCCAAATAATGCATGAAATGACACGAACAGGATATATGAACGTGCAGATCTGTCCTCCATGGTACATGAGTAGAGAGGAACTTGGAGTAGAGTCAACTGGAACCTTAACCTTTCTTGGTTTTTCCTCCCAGAACTCCCCAGGATCATTTCCTGGATTTAACAAAAGGGGAAACAGACCCATAGTGCCACCAAATGACCCAGAGCTGTTCATTGAGCCCAGGGCAGGACTGACATTTGGGCTCGGGCTCCTCAGGCTCCTTGACTCAATCACTTTGTTAGTTCGCGGACTTCCACCATTTCCCTAGATGTCAGCACCTTCCCCGTAGTTGGCTCAGTCAGTATTAGGAACAAAAGTCTTAACTAGCAGCATCAGAAGCTGAGTAGAGTCTGAAAGCCAAATACTGCTCCCACGTGAGGAGTAGTGAAAGGAAGACGAAAAAGGGTGAGGAGTAAGGCGGGTAAGGGATGTTATCACAGTGTGGAGGAGAATCCTTCACTCAGTCCCAGAAACCACTACTCAGATCCCTAGACCTGAGGTGGAAAGGGTGGTTGGGAAGCAGAGATTCCAACTCACTTCCTGCTTCTGGGGCCCATTCCAGATGAGTATGTGGCAAGTCTTCATCTGCCCACCTTTGATGCCCACCTGACAGAGCTGACAGATGAGCAGGCCAAGTACCTGGGCCTCAACAAGAACGGACCCTTCAAACCGAACTACTACAGGTGACTTGGGCTCCCGAGGGTATGGGCAGGTCCTTGGGAAGCCCCTGGGCGGGCTAGGAGGAGGCACTTCTTAACCTTCTCTGCTAGACTTTGATGACCCCTAAATGGGACACCTGCAACATGGATCCGAGGCTTTCCCTGTGGCGGGGCATCCTGCAGGTAATGCTCCCGGTACTAAATATCTGGTCTCTCTCCATTTCTCTGTATAGAGAAGAGTGGATCATTTCCACTGATAATGACAAGCAGCCAATTACCCACTCCCCAGATAGGATTTGGGTCACTATGAAGGAACCCTTCTATCTAGTTTCTGTTGAAGTCTCTGCTTCCCCATTTCTTCAAGCAGGCAGGCTGCTCCCACTACCTGATAGCCTCATCTTCTCTTGTTTCTTTTTCCCTCTAGATATTAAGTTCCTGTAACTGAAGGCAGAAGATATTTTAAGGAACAAGACCCCAATTTTTCTCCTCTACTGTACAGGACAAAACCCAGCAAGCTGCTTCCCTGGTCAGAGCCACCCACCATGCTCGCTCCATAGACCATGTGTTAGATTATTTATTTATTAAAAACTAGAATCCTGTGCCCTCAGCCTCAGCCCATGGTGTGGTTACTGCCCTGAGGGCTGTGAGAGCCACAGAGGATGGGCTGGGAGGAAGGAAGAAAGGGAGCAGGGAACTCCCCCCTCCACCCCACCCTCTGCATCTTCAGCATCATTCTCCGTTAGTTTTGAGGTTTTTGTGACAGCCATGTGTCTGTTGTCTAGGGTACCTTTACCATTCAGGGATTCCAGAGTCTTTGTCACTTGGGGCTTTTTGGGGGGAGTTTGGTGACAGATCTTCAGTAACTGATCCTCTTATCCTTCCCCAGGTGAGGCCTCTGGAAAGCCACTCAATCAGCATGGCCCCAGAGCCTCAGCCTTGGCCAGCACTATCACTGCCTTCTTTGACAAAGCTATTGAGGGGGAAGGGCGACAGCTTCAGTGAACCCCACAAATATTCAGCTGTACCTGCCTCTACTGGGGGTCCCCTTCCTTGTCCAAGACTCCTTCTTATGTGTTTATGGCCATTTGGACATTGATTCTCAGAAGACTGTGCCTCCATGATTTTCTCAGCAGCTCTGGTATTGCTTGGATTTTTTTTTTTTAAACCAGCTTTCCAACTCAACCAAAGCTCTGTTCAGGAAGTAGGAACCAAATCCACGAGGGTCTGTCACTCTGTTCTTATGCCATCTGGCTGGATAGCATCTCAGGAAGCCCCTCTAGGCAGAATTGGAATAATCTTGGAGGAGAATTTGTAAGGCTCTTTCTCCCCGTCTTCCTGTTGCTGCCCAGAATTGCCTGAGATTGAGCAAAGAAAGAATATGTCTTCCTCAGGCAGCTCAAGTATGTTTGGAGTTCAGAAATGGAACAGGCTCTCAGGCCTGCAGCTTAGCAAATTTGGGACACCTTCTAAAGGGGCTAAGAATTCCTGTCTTCTAGGGGATTTCCAGTTTGATTAACTGGCTGAGCTGTTTTATAAGTATCCCTGGGCTTATATGTCCAGGGAATCACAGCTACTTTGATTAGTTTTACTTCATCAAATATTTATCCCTATGGCCATTACCATTGATGGAGCCAAGATCCAATTTCTCTGTTGTTTGACTTGTGTCCTTTCTTCTCTGCTGAAATATCTCTGCTTGTCTTCTCCCTTCTCTTTTCCCATCCCCAGTCCCCACTTAACATCTAAAAATCCTGTGTTGTCTATCATCTAGAGGTGGTTTCTGGGACAACCCTAGTGTCAAGTAGAATTTATTAGGATAAGCATCCTGGGACTCTGTAACTCATTCCATTGGCAGATTCAGCTTTGGTTCTTCCCTGGAAGTGCCTAGTGCTGGCACTGGTCTGGACTGGGCTGAGTCTTTCAAAGAGACCAGGTAGCTTCTAAGGATTAACGTTGGATCTAGGGTAGCCCCAGCTATCTTTGACTACTTGGGAACTTCAGTCCTACCTGAAAGCTACCATAAACCATTGGGTTTTAGAACATCATCTGGACTACTTCTGGTCCTTCCGATCAGATTTGATCCAGGCCAGGTTTACCAGGGCTATACTAACCGAATTCTCTTGCTCTACTCCACCCCTTCAGGTCTTACCTAGTCTTCATCTTTTACCCTCAGGGCCAGCCTGGAAGTGACCTTACTTTTGGGGATATGAAGAGGAAAGGCTTAGATAAGTAACCGTTTGCCTCAGTAAAATATATTTGCTAAGTTCTAATCCACAGACCCTGGTCCTGATAGAGTATTATCAGCAATTGTTGGAGAAATCCCACTTGTGTTTTGGTACTTGAGGGTGTTCCCTTTGAACCCTATTACACTTCCCTCTAATGAAGATCATAAATATCTAGACCATTCCTTCTCTCCTGCTCCGGTATGCCCCTCCTCTTCTTCTCATTTCTGTGTTTCATGGGTACTTATTGGTCCCCTGGTCTCCCAGACAGAGTAGATTCCATCAGTCAGGTACCTCGGACTCTGATGTTCCCTTGAATCAGGAGCCCCAGCCTACTGTTCTCCAGGGCCTGGCTCTTTAGGAAGATCTGTACCTGGAACTTAAAGATCATGGACTACTCAATTTGTTAAAGAAGCCTATTGTGTTATACTGCTTTAGATGAGTAAGGTAGTGCCCTGGGTTCCCTGGTTAAGTGGTCAATGCAGTCACCCAGAGTAGTTTGAGTTTTAGATAACCTGTCTTAACTTCTCCTGGAGCTCTGGCCCATTATCCACAGACGGGAGCCAGGAATAGGTGCCCTTAGTTTTGAATCTGGGAGTACCCTTTGATGTCTACCTTTTGAGTTTGGGACCTGTCAGATCATTGCTTCAGGTGCGTAGCCTAATCATCTGGAAACAGGGGAAGAGCTACTTGTTTTGTGTCTGGCTCCAGCATGTCGGAGGTGCTGTTCTCATCATTGAACTTACTGATTCTTAGCCCTTATTTTAACTTCTATGTAGATATTTATATATTTTTTTTAAATAAGAAAAATAAAACTGAATGTCCCACCTCCCTCTCCCACTTCTGAGCACAGCTCTCCATAGCCACACACTCCTATAAAGCTTTTTCTGCTGCTGGCTTCTCCCTCAACAGATCTAGAATTGCTGCTATGCTCCTATGGTTGTCTCAGCATTAACTCTGTTGTGATTTTTAAAAAGAAATCAAAATGCGTTGTTGCATAAAGCTTTTTAATTAAAAAAATTAGGAAAGGAAAATAGGCAACACCAGCAAATTATACGTGAACAAGTCATTCAGTTCTGAATTCAATATATATATACATATATATATACTTATATATCACATAAAATAATCATCTAATTCTTATTGTCATTCTACTAAAAGGAAATAAAATCTCTGAGGATCTATCATTCCAAAAGACTGTTGGAAATCTTCATGTCTGAGTGATTGTATTAGATCAGCAATAACTACTGTGTAATCTCAAAACACAAATAAAATGTTCATCAATTGATCTAGTCCTCTGAGTGTATTCACTGCTGCTGTCAACTCGGAATCTGACCCAGGTGAGAGAGATCTCTAGTCAGAAAGGGAGGGAGAAGGGGCAACTAGATGGTGCAGTGGATAGAGCACTGGCCCTGGAGTCAGGAGGACCTGAGTTCAAAACCGGCCTCAGACCAAACACTTGATACTTACTAGCTGTGTGACCCTGGGCAAGTCACTTGACCCCAACTGCCAAAAAAAATTTAAAAAAAAGAAAGGAAGGGGGAAACTCTGAATCTGGGTAGAAAATGAAAAGGCTGAAACTTCTGTCAACAGTTGGGCCAAGTTGACTTAGCGTAGGGGGTCCTGCCTGTTTCTCACCTCTCTGTCCTTATCCTTTGGAGTTCAGAATTATGGGTGTGGAAGTCGGGCATTGCCCTTCTAGCCAGAAGGAAAGAGCCAGTATCCCTAGGGCATAAAGCCTGAAGGGAAACCACTGCTCCCCAGATGAAAATTTGTTCCTCCTCACATTTTTTTAGAGTACTTGGTCTGGATCTATTCTTTGTCTTTATTACATTCTACTACTTATATTTATGAGTAATATCCCCATTTAGATTGTAATCTCCCTGAAGGAAAGGACTGTGATTTTTTTCATCTTTGTTTCTCCAGGGTTTAGCACAGTGCCTTACACATAGTAGGTATTTTCAAAGTTTGAGTTTGAATTGAAATGAAGCCCATTGGTGGGAAGAATCAGGGAGAGGGGTAGGAGAAATCCAAGGAATTTTTCTATCTAAACCAGTACCAGATAATAAACTTAACTGCCTGTTACTTCTTTCAGCTAGGTAGAAGTAGATGTTTGGTCAAAGTGAGCATATTTTTGTGGTCGGCTCTTAACTTGCTCCAAGCCATGCCCACGAGATGGTTATCTTCATCCCTGAATCCTCTGCTCATTCATAATTCTACCCAGACTGCATGCCACTCAATAGAACAGACTCAGCTATTTGTACTAATTCTGGGCTAGGCTGAAGGTCTCCTCCAAAACTACCCTGACCAGAAAAAGGATGTGGCAGCAAACTGTGATTTTGACACTGCTGGTCCATTTTCTCCTGGATACCCTTTTTGGATTGTGTGGCATTCTAAATGATTTGAAGTCAATTTGAAAGGTATTCTTTAGTGGAATTCCCAAGAAATCTGAACTTGATGCTGTGCATTTTTATCAGTGACTTGGGCAAAGGAATAAATGGCATATTCATCAGTTAGAAAAATGACACAAAATTAGTAGGGATAGCTAACACATCTGATGACAGCATCCAAAAAGACTATAGCATCACGGATTTAGAGCTGGACGGTGCAAGACATGGCTAAATGTCAATTTGCTTGAAAAAGAGCCGAAAGGTGTTCTTTCAAAGGGGCAGGGGAAAGGGCAAAGAGGGAAATCTAGGTTGATGTAAAACTAAGAGATAGCAATCAAAAAAAAAGTTTTCTTCGAAAAAGAGTTGGAGGGGCAGCTAGGTGGCCCAGTGGATAGAGCACCAGCCCTGGAGTCAGGAGGACCTGAGTTTCAAACCCAGCCTCAGACACATAACACTCAACTTACTAGCTGTGTGACCCTGGGCAAATCACTTAACCCCAATTGCCCTCACCAAAAAATAAATAAATAAATAAATGAATAGAAATAAATAAAAAAAGAAAAAAAGCTGGAGGTTTTAGTGGACTGAAAATTAAATGTCAGCAATGTGATAGGGAATAGGTATTGGACCTGTGATTTCATCGGTAAGGGAAACTTTCTCTGTCAAGGCACCTTTTCTGCAACTGATAGGCATAAAGAATTTCCTGGAGCACTGAGAGGTTGTGACCTGCCCAGGATCACACAGCCAGTATGTTTCAGAGGCAAGATTTGGCATGGAGGCCAGATCTCTATCCACTATGTTTTTGCCTCTCAACAGAGTGATGTGTGGCAGTTTAAAAAAAGCTAGTGTGATTTTAGGCTACGTTAACAGGCATAGTGTCCAGAACCAGAGCAGTTGTACTCTCCCCAAGTCAGACATCTGAAATATTTTGTGTTTTAGCGCTTACGCAGTGCTTGGCACATAGTAGGCACTTAATAAATGTTTATTGATTGATGGTTCCCTTCTAGGCACCCTAATTTAGGAATGACATTGATAATCTGGAGGAAGGCAACCAGGGTGCTGAAGGACCTCTAGCTGATGCTATGAAAATCAGTTGAGGGAACTAGGGATGTTTAACCTAGAAAAGACGACTTATGGGAATATGATAGTTGCCCTCACTGGAAGTATTCAGGCAAAGACTAGTTGGCTGTTAGCTAGAAATATTGTGGATTGAATTCTTATTCACATAGGGTTTGTACTGGATGGCCACTGAGATCGGTCATTCCCTGAATCAAGACTTTTTGTTCCAGGCTAAATGTTTCTTCACCTTAGAGGCAGGGTCCATCCCTGAAAAAATTGAAAATCCTGTAGGAAATGGCGATTGGGAGTCAGGATCTCTGATTTCTAACAACTCTCACTCCAACACCTTCTGTGCTTTATCCTTAAGCAGCTTTTATAAATGCCAATCTAACCACCTCTGAACCAATTATCTCAGCTAGTACCTATGAGGCTGAGTAAAACCATGTCCAACTTCAGAGCTATAGCAACTGTGCACCCTAACCTCTGGCTAACAGTCTTGAAAATGTCCATGTTAAAAAAAATGTCCATGTAAGTGAATGTACTATGTACAAAGTAATAGCAATACTGTAAAATGATTAGCTGTGAATGGCTTCGCTCTTCTCAGCAATACAGTGATCCAACACAACTCCAAAGGACTTATGATGAAAAATGCTATCTATCCCCAGACAAAGAACTGATGGAGTCTGATGAAGCGTATTTTTTTTTACTTTCTTTATTCATCTTGAGTTTGGGGGGGAAAGTCTTATGTTTAATATGGATTAATATGGAAATGTTTTGCATGACTACATATATATATATATATATTTACATGACATGTATAATCTATATCACATTGCTTGCCTTCTCAATGGGGTGGGGGAGGAGGGAGAGAATTTAGAGCTCAAAGTTTTAAAAATGAATGTTAAAAATTGTTTTTTCATGTAATTGAGGAAAAATAAAATACTGCATTTTTAAAAATGTCCATGTAACTTAGAAAGTACTTGCAGGCTAGTAGTAAAGGTCATTAGAGCACAGTGATAATGAAGACTTGATGCCTGTACTCTAGGACCTGATCTAGCAGGAATATTCATCCAAGGCAAAATAGATTAGATGCTGGACGGAGAATGTGATCAATCCCCAGATGTATATACGGCACCACGGTGATCATGGATACCTCTTGGTGTCACAACCTCCTTTGTTGGCAAAATAAAAAAATGTTGAATCTGAGCCAACACCCTATAACTAGAGTTTGTGGTCTGTGTTCTGCCTGCCAGGAGATTAGTGCTTCCCAAATTAGCCTTCCCTTCCCTCCTCCCAGCCCCAGGCTCTGCTTCTGGCCAGCTTTCCTTCCTCCTTCCTCCTCCCTGGCATGATACATACCATGCCTCTTGGGTCTGTAATAAGTAAGAGCAGATGGGCATCCATTAGAGGGCCAAGGCCCAGCATCTGAGCTCTTACCTACCTTTATGGGAAAACTGAGACAGTTTCTAAAGAACTTTGTAGAGCAGTTTTCATCACAATAATTTCTGCCATCACATCCCCCCCACCCCCATACCTAGGTACTCTGATCTTTGTGACCTTTGGCGAGTTCTAATTTTGTTTCCTCAACTGTAAAAATGAGGAGGGTTGGACTAGGAAGTACAATTGTCCATCTTTAGCAAATGAAAAGGGGCAGCTAGGTGGCCCAGTGGAAAGACCACCAGGCCTGGAGTCAGGAAAGCTCATCATCCTGAGTTCAAATCTGGCCTCAGACACTTACCAGCTGTATGACCCTAGGCAAGTCACTTAACCCTGTTTGCCTCAGTTTCTTCTTCTGCAAAATGAGCTGGAGAAGGGAATGGCAAACCGCTCCAGTATCTTGGCCAAGAAATAGTCACAAAGAGTCAGGCATAATTGGTCAACAACCAAACAATAATAAGCAAATGAAGAAACTGAGGCTGTGAGATGCTTTGTGGAATCTGGAACTAGAAGGGAGTGCTGAGGTCACCTAGTGTAATCTCATTGTACAAATGAAGTAATATAGGTTTCCCAATTGAGGCTGTGACTTGTCCAAGGTTAGCAAAGGTGGGATTAGAACCCAGGTCCCCTAAAGCCAAACCTAGGGCTCTTTTCCTCTATAGTAGTGATGCAGTGACTTGGTGGAAGAGCTGGGACTAGAACCCAGGCTTTCCAACATCCAAGTCCAGTCGTCTTTCCACTAGGAAGACTAGGTTTCCTTGTTATTTAAGAAATAGGACACTTGGAGTGAGCAGGAAAAGAGGTTACTAGAATTGACCATTTCACTCTACTATCTGTCCCACTCCTGATTAGTTCAGCAGGTAAAGAAGAAAATGGAGTTCTGGGAGTTGTCGATCTTCACTAGCGTTCTCGCTCCAGGAGAACAGAAGAAATGGGGGGGAAGGAAAGCAGAATAATTAGTTCTTTAATAAGAGGCACTCGTGGGTTGTGCTGTGGCAGGTTTTTCACATGGAGTGGGGCGAGGCGTGGGTTGTGTCCTGTCCCTCAACACCTCCCTTTTTTCCCTCACAATGAATTGTAAAGCAAAGTTTGGCTCTTGGAATCTGATTTATTTAACAACAACAACAAAAAAAGACTAAAATCAAAGCTTTGGCCTTGAGCCTGGTGTTTCCTTAGAAATCATAGCATAGTCTGTGAAAGGTGTGTGAAGAGAAAAGAGAGAGAGAAAAAAAAAAGAAAAGGGGGAAAGGAAAGAAGGAGGGGGGAAAGGGAACACAGTTGTTTCCCAGGGATGGTAACTCTTATCTGTTCTTTGATAGCACTCTCCCCGTTATATCTGTATTCTTTCATTGTTCTGGAGGAAAAAGGAGGAAGGAAGGAAGAGAGGGAAGGAGGGAAAGGGTCACTGTTGTTCCAAGGGCATGGCCCATAGACATTGGGTTGGGTCCTACCTAGGCTTTTACTTTCACATCCTATCCAGCTATTCCCCCAGGGCACATTGATATATACATACATATATGTATACATACTATATATTATACACACACACACACACATACACACACACCACACCACACATCCTCTTCTACATTCCCCTACCCCACTTTTCACCTCTTCTTCTGGGTACAGTAATGAATCAATATTGCCCTATAGATCAACCCTCCAGACCAAAACCAAAACTTCTTTCCCTGGTCCACCATTCCCTTATATATGTTATTTTCCCTATTAGAATGTAACCTCCTTTAAAGCAGGGACTATTACTCCTTTGGCATTTGTATTTTAAGAGATTTTTTAGTGTAGTGCCTATGCTAAATATTGATAATTTTTTTTTATTCTTTCATTATTTACCATACTACTTATGGAAGGGATTGGCAGAGAAGGATTCTGAGGGTGGAGGAGGTGTTAGTTTCTTGTCTATTTTTTTTTAAGCTCTAAGAGATACAATTACCCAAAGCAAAATGGCATGACCACCCCTCTTTCAAAAATCACCACGCACTTCCTTTGATCTATGTGATTTATGAATTAGAATCAGAGAATCTCTGCTTTGGAAGGTACCTAAAATATCTCATAGCTCAACCTTCTTTCTACAAGAATTCCTTTACAACTTCTGCTTCAATTTGCCTAGTTCAAGGAAATTCACTATCTACCAAGGCAAGATTGAACAGCTCTTGGTGCTGGGTAGGTTCAATGGGTTATCACATATTGAAAGTAGCCCTAAAGGAGCTATGGGAAGACAGGCTTGCTAATTCACTGCTGATAGAGCTGCGAATTGACCCAATTGTTCTAAAAGACTATTGGGAGTATGCAAGAAAAGTTATTAAATTACTTATACTCTGATCTAGAGATCCCACTACTGTGTTTGTACACCAAAGATGTTAATAAAGCAAGAAAAACACCAAATATTAAAATATTCATAGCTGCTTTATTTATAATAATAACAATCTGAAAACAAAATACACTCCCAGTGTTTTGATCTGGGAACAACTGTATAAATTCAACAATATACAATATTATTGTTCTAGAAGGAACAATGAATCTAGAGATTTCAGAGAAACATGGGAAAACTTGTATGAAGTGAGGCAAAATGAAGACAATGGAATGATATATAAACGTGTGTGTGTACATATAGTTCCATTTTCTTCATAGATGTGCATGTACATATGTATGCAAGTACTCCAGAATATGTAAAGACAACATGAAAAGTGAACAAAACTCCCGCTGAAAGATCCCACTTTCTTTTAAGTGACACTGTTGGTACTAAAATATTAAAATATATCCTTCTGTTAATAATCAATAAACTACAAAGGTGCAAAGTTAGGCTTAGTAATTAGTCTAATCACTCAGGAAGTTCTGTTTAATGATTTTCAGGAAATGTACAGTGGAGAAGGAGAGTTGTTTGAATGTTGGTTGGATATCTTTTTTTGTATCAAAGCAAAATGTATCTGTAATAGAGATCATCAGGGGAGCCCTGCCCTGATCCACTCTGGCAGGAATACTTCCCACAGAACTGAGCCCCATGATTGGACATTTCAGATAAGATGTGCCCTGGCCTCTGAAGGGCATTTTCAAACAGAGGTTCCTAGCTGGGCCTTTGGTCCCCATGATGGAGTTTGAGGGGAAGGTGCAAAGAACATTGGTCACTGAACAGAAGAGCTACTCAGTAGACTTCCAACAAGAGAAAATTTCTGCTGTTTCTCTCTTCCTGTCTCTCAAGCATGTCAAAACTCTTTAAGTTTTCTCTATTACTTCCATCAACTTGAGAATGGGATTTCTTTCTCTAAAAAAAAATGGCAGTAAGTACATGTGCTTATGTAGGTGAGCCTCTGGCTACCCCTTCTGCTTTGTATTTCTTTCCTAGATTACAGGTGACTGGATAGCAATCCTGAGGTTGATGTTTCTAGCCTTGCCAAGAAGCTCATGATGAGTTTCAGAGGTTGGGAGCTGCTGGATCCACATGCTAGTTGCTCAGCAGGTGATCTCAGCAACAACATCTTGGAGGAAAAAAATTATCACATCCAGGAAGATGAACAAAAGCCATGCCCCAACCTGCCAGAGGATATAGACCTTAAATCAGTGAAGATCCAAGGTGAAAATGTCTGTTCAGCAATCCTACAAAATGTTTCATGTTTTAATATTTTAAGTATCATCCTCCTGGGAGAATATAATAGGAGTGATAAATTATTGTATCTTGCTTTAAATATTTGCCAATATGCACTTAAGAGTCTTCTGGGTTTCAAGCATTTCTTCTGTGGTAGAAATAAATAGCTGTCCTATGTCGGATCTACTTTGTATTTTAGAATTTGAAAATTGGAAAGGACCTCAGCGGCCATCTGGTGAAACCGATAAATGAAGGAATCTCCACTGTAATGTACCTGACAAGCACTCATTCAGCCTCTGCTGGAAGACTTCTAAAGAAGGGGAACCCACCACCCCTTGAGACAAACTATTCTTCTTTTAGACAGCTCTCACTGTTAGAAAGATTTTCCTGACATTTGCCTTTTTGCAATTCCCTCTTACCGCTCCTGGCTCCAGGTCTGGCACTTTGGGGCTAAACAAAACTGCACCAGTCCATCTTCCACATGTGTCCTTTACTTGAACAAAGCTACACTGACCCACCAAGACTTCTTTTCTGCAGGCTAAACGGGCTCAGTTCTTTCTAGAGATCAAGTACATTGGTGAGAGGAGGGAAAGGAAAGGTGGCTTGGAAGCTATTTAGCTGTGTGACCTTGGGCTTCCCATCCCAGAACTCCAATTTATTCATCTATAAAAGAGATTGTACTAGATGTTTCCTCAGGTCCTTCTTTGCAGTGAAGTGTAGGGGAGGAAAATTACCTGGTGGCAATCACTGAAAGATGCTTACTTGAAAAGATCATTTACAGCTGGGGTGGAGGAGAGAAATGACAGCTTACAATTCCTCCCATTTAGAGTTTAGGAAAGTTGAGGCTGAGATCGGGGAAGGGCTGGACTAGAGCGTCGAGGCCTAGAGGTCAGGTGGTACTCTAAGAAGCAGAAGTACCCTTGCCTGGGGCTGAACATCTCAAAAAACTGAATGAGCCCCAACCTCCGCCCCGAACATCCAGACAACCAATCCTACCTGGGGGTGGAGCTGCCATTAGGTTGCCTTGGCCAATTGAGGGGGGGGGGCGGGGCCTGGGGGGGGGGTCCCAGGGTATGTGTGTCGGGAGGAACGTTCCCCAGGGCGTGCTGCTGCTCTGGTAGCGCCTGGCAGAGCGGGCTGAGCAGTCGCGGGGAGCTGCATGGAGGACCCCAACGGCGTCGGGCCCGGGGCGGGCAGCCCACCTGGGAACGGTAGCAGCCCCGGAGGAGGAGGAGGCAGCAAGGGAAAGCAGGCGTCGCCCAAGAGCCGTGAAATGTTCAAGAACCAGCGGAGGGAGTCCGAGGTGGGCAGTGTCTCGTGCTGGGGTAGGGAAGAGATCGGGGGTGCTGCAGCGAGGGGCGGGCGGAGAGGCGCCCCTAAGTTAGAGTGAACCCTGGAGGCGCCGCGCGGGGCACAGGAGAGGCCATCACCCCCCTTCCCCCCGGGACCCCTGACTCCTCCCCTGTAGCTAGTGGAATCCAAAAGCTCTAAAGCTGAATGAAGACACCTTGGAAGCAGTGTGAACCTCTCATTTTACAGATCAAGAAACCAAGGCCCAGGAAGGTTTAAGTGACTTGTCCACAGCCACACTGGAGTAGGAAGCAGAGCTAGGACTCTGAATCTAGGTTATCTAATTCCGATTTGGAATCCAAGTCCAGTACACTTGGTTAAGCTGGGTGTCTAACCCAGGCCACTGGACCCTAGGATTGATGAAGTCCCGGGCTTCCCTCTTCATTCTTGCCAGGAATGGGGCCTCAGTCTCCCTTCTGCTCCTCATGACCCAGCCAATATTACCTCAGCCCCTAGGCGGCTGGTAAGACCTGCAGGGTTAATGTAGACTGCATGAATGCAGCCGAGAGCTTTACATTTGCTCCTGTACTCCTTTCTAAAGGATTACGGAGAGGCACCTGAGAAAGGATGGACTGGGGTGCCTTGCCTGACCCTTCTCCTTATTGGCTCTTTCCCTGTTTTTTAGTTTTATTCTCAGTGCCACGTGGTATGGTGGAAAGGGAAGAGGCTGAAGACCTGGGTTTAAGCCGCAGGTCTGCTACTTCTTCCCTTTGTGACCTTGGGCAAATCCTTATCCTGTTTCCTCAACTGTAAAATGAAGAGCGTTGGGCTAGATCATCTGGTCCCTACCAGCTCTAAAATTCTGATTCTAGAGACTTTTATGTGCCTTACACAGAAAAGCATTCAGTTGTCTTTTGTTGAATGAATGAACTAACACTTGACTAGCCCCTGAAGGTCTTTACAAGAGTTGCTACTCCATTCTGTCTTGCCCTTTAAGGGTATCTGGTAAGAGTATTTGCTGACCAGGTTTTTTCACCTCTCCTAGAACAGAATTCTCAGTGAAATGGTGAACTGGCTGGGTGGAGGGAATAGGGTGGGACAGGGAAGTTGAATTCACTGTTTCTTCAGCCCTAGTCCTAAAGAAAGACCAAGCTTCCTTTCCCCAAGGGTTAATGGATCTTATCTGGTCCTGAATGGCTGTGGTCCCTTCCCACTAAAAATGGCCCTTTAGAAAAGCCTATACAGTAAATTCTTTTTCTAGGTAGACCCAAGGGCTCCTCATGAGCAGATGGTAAACCTTGGGCTAAGGAATGCCCCTCCTCTTTGTGGCTGTGGGAGTAGGGGAATAGGAACTAGAAGACAGAGAGGGAAAAACACTTGCTCACAATCAAGCTGGTAGCATGCTCCTAGGAAAGCTTCAGGTTAGAGCCCAGGAGTCTGGGACTCTCCAGGTTCCTGCTCTGTCTATCAGACGGCATGCTTTTTAAAGAGGCAGTGATCTCTGGCCTCTTCTGCAAGAGGCCCTGTTAGCTTTGCTTTGACCAACCAGTATGGTTTCTGCAGGATCCCTTTCTCCTACTTGCAGAGAAAGAGCAGCTTACCCCCTGTCTGCCTGGGGCTGCATCTTAATTTTTTCCATTTCTGTCCTCCCTGCTCTGAAACACTTTGTTAATGGGATCATCTCAATGTTCATTTCCTGCCAACTTGCTGTCCTAAAAAATTAGCTCTCCCCCACTTTCTCTGCAAGGCGGAGAAGCTGCCTTTCCCTATCAATGTGTCCCCCATCACCAGTGTGTCTTGGTGCCAGTTATGATGACTGTTCACCTTCAGATCTCTCCTTGCCTTTCCCAGTGTGCTGGGAGTGAACAGCCCCTAGGAGAGAGAGGTTTCTCTTTGGGTCCTAGAGCCCCCTCCATGGATGATCACCGTAGGCAGCGGGAGAAGGCTAATCCTGTATCTGAAAGGAAAAGGTAGTCTTTTAGACTGCTAAATACCTTGGGACAAGATATGACTAGCTTTGCCTCATTAAGCCCCCCAGAAGCATCCTGAGATATTCACACTCATAAGCAGCTCTGCTTAGTTTGGACTCCACAGAATATGATGCCTCTACAGCATGTACTCTCTGGCCCTTCCACCCCTACCCCGTTTGTCTTTCTCTACTAGATTGTAAGCTCCATGAGGGCAGAGATTATCTTTTTCTTATTTGTATCCCCAGTGCCTGGTACATAGTAGGTGCTTAATAAAAGTTTATTGAATGTAATTGAGAGAGCCTTGCATCACTGTATGCAAAAGGATGTAATTTGACCATCTCTCATATCCATACCTACAATGATATGATGAGACATTGCTTATGCAGGGACATATTTTGACTGTTTCTCTCCTCCTCCCTGTCTAATGGCACAATGAGTTCATAGGAATATGGACTTTAGAACTCAAGGACCTTTGATAATCTAGTTACACAGGATAGGCACGCATGGATGGTTTGACATCATCATTGTTGGAAGGAGCATCCACATTGATAAGAAAAATCTGTTGGAATGTGGGACTTAATCACTTAATAAAAATATTTTTCTCTTTATGATCAGCTTTACTACAGGGTCCTTTTAATCAGTTTCCCTCATGCATTCAATAGAATCATGAATTCTTGGAGCCTGAAGGAATCATTCAGTTCAGCCCCCTCATTTTACAAATTAGGGCATTGCAGCCTAGAGGGGAGAATGACTTGCCCAAGGTCTCTTGCACTGAGTTTTTGGTAGAATCAAGACTAGAATCAAGGCTTTCTGACTTGCCAAGATGGCTTCTTTGGGAACTCTTTTTTTATTTTATTTTTTAAACATAGGGAGATTGTTCACCTAGGCTGCCTTTGCAGAAACAAAATAGGTGGTTGGGGGGAATAGATAGAGCGCTGGGGCCGGGAGTCAGGACACTGGGTTCAAATTCAACTTCAGATGCTTACTGTGTGACCCTGGGCAAGTCACTTAACCTCTGTTTGCCTCAGTTTCCTCAACTGTAAAATGGGGATAACAATAGCACCTACTTTAAAGAATTGTGAGGATCAAAAGACATTCTATTTGTAAGGCACTTAGCCTAGTGCTTGGCACATAGCAGGTGCCTAATAAATGTCTATTCCCTTCTCCTGCCCCACCTTCTCTTAACCTTAATTGCGCTCTAGGCAACTCTTTAAGCCTGTGCTAACCAGCATTTTTAGAGGGAGTTTCCTCAACTCAGTTCCCTATATCAATGAAAATGTAGGTTCAATGATTTTATAAATTCCTGTTTATTTTCCTACAGATCCTATTTGTTTTCCTACAGATGTTTTGGTTGCAAGTTGGAATAGATATAAGGACATAGGCTATAATTTTCCGCATCAGCTCCTCTTTCTGCTTCTCCTTTTCCATGCCCTCAGTTTCCCTTTTTGTACAACCAGTCTTTTAGACTAGCCACCAACTTCTCTCGGGGCTTCGAGGTTGCTTAGTGAGGGTGAGTGAATGAGCAGACCTCCTCTCAGGTGGGAGGACCAGGTGTGATCCTCTCTGGCCCTGGCCTGCTAAGAGCTTGGGAGCTGCGGAAGGGAATGAGGGACATGGAAGCCAAGAGACCTTTGTAACAGCCGAAACTTCTCCATTTCAGGGCTCTGTGGACTGCCCCAACCTGGAGTTCGAGTACGGAGATGCTGGTGAACATGGGGCGGAGCTGTCAGGTACAGGTCCAGTGGCTCTGGGGAGAGATGGGGGGTGTGAGGGGAGGTTCTGTGGTTCACCCTCCCCCACTGGGTACCTGTGATCTCAGACTCTCAGTCCATTCCTCTCTGCACTCAGTAAATGTGATGTTCGTTCCCAAAAGAAGCGCTCTCTCCTCTGCCTTTCCTCTAGATCTGCTTGCTTGCTCTTTCCACTGCCCCTATCCGTTCTTCCCTTCCTCAAATATTTATTAACGACCTAATTTCATACATTCAGCAAGCATTTTAAAAGCGCCTACTATGTGTAGGCACTAGGGATACAAAGACAAAAAGATAGTTCCTTCCCCCAGAGTGCTTACATGGGGTGAGGGAAGGTGAGGGGAAGATAAGCAAATATAAAATGATTTCTTAGAGGACACACTCACAGCTGGTGTTGGGAAGATCAGAAAAGGCCTAATGCAGAAAGTGGCACTTGAGGTGAGTCTTGAAGGAAGCTAAGATTTCTCCAAGGCGGGAGTAAGGGAGAGCATTGTCGGCACGGGGCACAGCCTGTGCATAGGCATGGCACCAGAGTAATGGCAGCCTGAGGGGGGAGGGACAGGCTCTGCTAGGCTTCTCCCCGGCCTCTCCTTTGCCTCTGGTTGAGCTCTTTCTCCCACTGTTTTCTTTTCTTCCTGTCCTTTTTTCTCTTCCTTCCTGTGTTTCTCTATCTCCTTTGCCTTTTTCCTTTCTCTCCTCTCCTTCCTTTCCCTTTCCCTCTCACTTTTCCTTCTTCTCTCTCTCCTTCCTTTCCTCTCTCTCCCTTCCTCTCTTCCTACTTTCCCTCCTCCTTCCTTTTCTCCTTTCTCCCTCCTTTCTTTACTTTCTCCCTTCTTTCCTTCCCCTCTTCCTCCTTTCTTTCTCTCCCTCCTTTCCTTCCTTCTCCCTCTCCTTTCCTTCCTTCTCCCTCTCCTTTCCTTCCCTCTCTCTCTTCTTTTTTTCCTCTCCCTCTTCTTTTTCTTCCTCTTCCTCTTTTTTATCTCTGCCCCCTCTCCCCCATTATTAACCTCTCAGAAGTGTCTGGGGCTGTAGACAGTATATAGACATTATTTCTCATATATTGTCTGTTCCCCTGAAATCTTTTATCCCAAATCATGTGCTGTGATATTTAAAGAAAATAAAGCCTGCAATGTGAACCTGCAGGATCCAGGCAAAGCAGCCTGGGTTGCCAAAGACAGTGGCCTGTGCATGTACACTAGTGCCCCCCCCCATGCCACACCCCCATCCTGGGATATTCCTAAGCTGTAGCTGAGCAAATCCCACTCATCTGTCAGAGCTGGGCTGGTTCTCTCTGCTGTTTGTTTTTTAGCTCAGACTGAGTGTGCTCCCTTCAGTATTTAAAGACCTCAGTGTTCAGTGAGGTACGAATGCCAGTTATTAATAAGCAGCTCCCTTCATGCCTGGGAAAAAGATGAGGTGAAAATTAAATTTTCTGTCACATGGAAGTGATACTTGGAGGCACGTTTCTCTCAGAAGAGACACATCTTTAGAGAAGTTCTTAGGAATAAGTGCAGAGGAAAATGTCTTGATGAATGACAGGGAAAGGGAGAACAAAGTCAGCTCTATCCCGCCTCTCTCCTCCTTCCCCCCCACACCCCACCCTTAGGGGCCTTGTTCTCTTTTCTGCTTTATTTCCTAGGTACTACACTCTTTTATCTTGTCATGGTGACAATGTAGGAGTTAACTCTCTCTGACAGCTAGGTAAACTAAGACTCAGAGAAAGAGGGAGTCATAAGACTAAGTTCAAACTTGGGCTCTGCCACTTAATAGCTGTGTGACCTTGCCCAAATCTCTGTCCATTTCTAGACCTGAGTTTTTTTCCTTCTTCTTTCTTTTTCTCTTTCTTTCTTTCTTTCTTTCTTTCGATCTCTCTGTCTCTTTCTCTCTCCTCTCTCTCTCTCTCTCTCTCTTCCTTCCTTCCTTCCTTCCTTCCTTCCTTCCAGCAATCAGGGTTAAGTGACTTGCCCAGAGTCACACAGCTAGTATAGACTTGAATTTTCTAATCTATAAAAGGAAGGCATTAGATAGAGGTTATCTCTAGTCTTTCCATCTCTAAATCCTCTTGAAAGTCAGGGTTTGTGAGCTAGTGAGAGAGGGAAAGAAAGAATATGTGTGTCCTTCACCATTCCGGGACTCTCAAACCTCTAGTTGGGAACCCTGACTCCCAGGCTCAAGTTGAATTCATTTGATTGATGCAGTAGAATGCTGGCTAAATTTCATGGGCTTTTCTCTTGCTTCATGAATCCAGCTGGGAGCCGAGCTGAGGTCAAGAAACCTGGATCCCCAAGTCTTGTGTATTTTGTTCTCAGTATTTCTAGTCCCTTCCTGACCCGTAGAACATCTCCCTTCCTGGATTTCATTCAGTGCTGGTGATATGGAATTAACTTTGTTGTTCAGTCACGTCCAACTCTATATGACCCTATAGTCCACGGGGTTTTCTTGGCAGAGATACTGGAGTGTTTTGCCATTTCCTTCTGCTCATTTACAGATGAGGCAAATAAGGGTTAAGTGACTTGCCCAGGGTCACACAATTAGTAAGTGTTTAAGGCCAGATTTGAACTTGGATATTGCTGGCTCTAAGACTGGTGTTTTATCCACTGTTCCACCTAGCTGCCCCATGAATTACTGTTCTTTGGCTAAAGTAATAATAATTATTATTTAAATACAAGTAACTCATATAAATATTTAAATAATTTATATAGAAATAATTATGCAGTGATTTAAGGATTGCTAAGGGCATATATTCGCATATTTGATCCTCCCAACAACCCTGTGAGGTAGATGTTATTATGACTCTTATCTTATAAATAACCTATTTTAGCCTCAGTTTTTCCTTAAATGACTTGCCTAGGGTCACATTGCTAATAAGTGTCTGTGGTGAGGTTTGAACGTGGGATTTGAATTTACAAAGGGAGCTGCTGCCCAGATGATGTGGCATTGTCTCTGTCTATTTGTTAGGCAGTCCACTATACCTCAGAGAAGGGGCCAATTGGACCCCAACCTTGGAGAACTGTCTACCTTTAACCAGACGAATTGATCAAGGGAGTGGCGATGGTGTGATTTGCTGTATGTCAAAGACCTATGCTGCCTTTTTTCTCTCCCTCTGGTCACCTTACAACCTCGGCTAGGCTGGCTTGCATGCCCTGGAGATGGTAGAAAGAGGTCCTGAGTTCCCTTACAGACAGCTCCCCAGAAGGAAACATCGATGGTCTCTCCCCATCATAACTTCAGTGTCTCTGCTGTCTCTCCCTCAGTGTCTCAGCATCTTTCAATGTCTGTTCTGTTCTTTTTATCTCTTTTAAATTAAAAAAACAAAACTGATCTCTTTTAAATTTAAAAAATTTTAAAAATCATTTTGAAATCCTCTTCTTGGTGGTCAAGACTTCATTTATTTCTCTAGGGGTGTGTGTGTTTCTCTCAAAGAGTGCTGAACAACACCAGGGTCTCAGCTCTGTATTTTAGGAAGTAATATGGGCTTCAGAATCTGTAGAGGTGGAATTGACCAGTCAAAATCAACAAACCACAAGAAACTTCAGCCCCAAGAGAGTGGAATGATGGGGGAGGCCGGGTGGTCTAAGCAAAAGGACTCTGTGTCAGGAGCCAAGAGGCCCAGGTTCTGCCACTAGCAAGAGGAATGACCTTGGGTAATTCGCTTTTCTTTTCTGGCCTCAGTTTCCTTATCTGTAAGGGTGAAGGGATTGAGCTAAGGTCCTTCCCGGCTCCAACACTGAATCTTTTCTGTTCTGTTTCCTCTTCTTTCTGTAACCCAAATTACATTGCCCTATCTACTGCAGTAGCCAGCTGGCTGGAGGAGTGCAGATTTGACTGTCTAATCGCCTGGGGACCTGGGTAGTTATTTTTAACTTTCTCCTCAGAAGGGGAGGAAGTTGGATCTGGGCAGGGCTGGGCACAGGAATGTGTTGGACGCCCCAGCTCTCCCACAACTAAACTGTCGGTGACTCTGTCTGTTCCCTCTGTTCTCCACCACAGAACTGTACAGCTACACTGAGAACCCAGAATTCACTATCAACCGGCACTGCTTTGAAGAGGATTTCAGAACTCAAGGTGCCCCCAGACGCCTGTGCTAAAAGACCTTTCCTCCTAAAGGCCAGGGAGCAGCAGTTCTCTGACCTCTGTGGCACAGATCTCCATTCCTCCGGGCGTACCTCAGTATAATCTGACAAGGGGCCAGAGAGGATGACAACCCTGTCTTCTTCTTTCTGAATCCTAAGAAGTCCCCAGTAGTTAAACTGGCAGGGAGAGGCTGTGGGCCAGAAATTGGGAATACTTGGGCTGGGTGCCTGGGCCTTTGTTATCAAATATTAAAATTGAAACCTCGATGCTGTGGAAGAGATGGTGAAATTGGCCCCAGGAAAAGGACACCTGAGTTAGAGATTCTCCTACCTGTGTGTTCTTAGCCTCCTTCTCCCTCCTCCCTCTTTAGGGTTTATCTCCTGCAGCCAGATGACTGACTGCTTGAAAAGTCTTTTAACTCCCCAAATTTTAAAAGCTATTGACACTCTCCTGTGTCATTGACCACCTTGGTCCATTGATTCCCAGATCCTCTTCATTTCTCGGCTAGAAGGAGTAAGGTTTGAAAGTTAGAGGAAGCCTGAGAGAGAAGAGTAGACATTCTGTTGGGATATGTAGGAGTAGGCCAGTCTTGACTCACAGTGGGCACGGGGTCTTCTCTCTCTCTCCCCAGTACAAGGTAAGGGCTGGCTGGAACTGGAGGAGGCCTCACAGAAAGCCTATGTAATGCGTCTCTTGGACCGGTTGGAGGTGGTTAACAGGGAACAACGACTGAAAGTGTCCCGGGCTATCCTCTACCTGGCCCAGGGTAAGTGTTCCTTCTACAAGTCTGGGGAGGTGACATATATGTGGGCTATAGGGTTATTTTCAAAGGAGGTTGATCCTCTGCATTAACAAGAGGTCCCATTCACCCCCAGGGTAGATGTAGCTATTGACTGGGTATAGCCTGATGCTTTCTAGGGGAACTGGGGTAATAGTGCCTGTAACTCCCCTGGGTCCAGTGCCCAGACTCTGCCTTTATCTCTCCAGGCAGCTCTGGGTTTACTTAGTTCTTCCCATTTACCTGGTGGGGAAAGGAGCTGCCACCTGACTTCCACTCCAGCCAGTCAAAAATCAAGCCCTCCCGATGTGCCGGAGCCTTAGTCAAGCCCCCATGGGGAAACACAGGCAGGATAAGGCATGGTCCAATAGGAGAGAAACATGTACACCATAGATGGTGCCTAAAAACCCACAAAGGGAAAAGTAAGGAGAGTTCAAGTTAATACAATTTGTGGGGTTAATCATGGAAGAGATGACTTTTTGAGCCAAGTTTTGGTTGCCCATACAAGCGAATTATGTGGACCTTTTATGGGAGAACATGAGCAAGAGTTGCATAGAATGAGAAGGCATGGACAGGTTGGAATCTGCACCATTGGTTGGGAGTGCCCCCTGAATCCATTCAACTATTTTGAGGGGAGATGAGTTTTCCTGGCAGGCAATGCAAGCTAGGGAAGAGCAAGGAACTGAAGAGAGAAGGAGTTAGTAGAAGGCTGATTGGTAATGAGTTTGGGCCTGCTCCCTCCTTCATTCTCACCCCCCAGAAAGATTTTGAGAAGTCTGGGACCTCTGAGGGTGGGGAGAGCCAGAAGCCAGGGAAGGGATGACCTTAACACCTCTACCTGATTTTCCATCTGAGGGAGATTAAAATTGTTGAACCTACAGTAAAAGAGACTGAGGCAAAGCTCTGAGCCAATAACACTTTATTAAAGGGTCCCTGATCCCCTCTAGTGAAGGGGACTTCAGATCTTCCTTCTGATCTGAGATGCCCCCTTCTTCCTGGACCTCGTATTTATAGAGTTTGATGTTCACATATGCACAAGAACCATGGTAAAATACAGAATCTCATTGGTTGATAAACCTTGCTCTTGAGGGCCAAAAACAACATATTATCAGGAGGGGCACAGATTGGGGGGAGCATGGGGCATCTCCACTGACTAAGCAGTCGTAAGATGGTCTCCTCCTGGTGCTGGACAAGAGAGAATGGTCTGGAGGTACAAAAATAAATTGGAGGACTTTCCATGTAATTGAGTCACCTCCCCACACTGGGCTTGGTCACCATGATAAGAAAAAACAAGGGTGGAGGGTCTCTAGTTAGCTTCCTATGATTCAGCAAGTGAACTTAAAATCTTCAGCTCACAGCTCTGTGGTCAAATATACAGAATGTATAATCACTACCCCTATAGAACCATGTAGAATTGATACAGATAGGAATAGAGTAGGGGTCCTCAATGAATTATTTCTCACATTCTCCCCCTTTGATCCAGAAAAAGACCCCAGTCTTTCTTTGGATTGTTACAATCTAAATGCATGGAAGACAGTCCTCTGTAGGTGATGCAAACCCAGTAGCAAGGCAGTCCTCTCACTGAGGCACAAAGGTGACATTAGTAAAGAGGGAAATGGGCACAACTTATACTGATTATGTTCCATTTGAATAACATTCACTCGTAATATACTAGATGTCCAAGGTGACTCTCCCACTAACCAAGAAGCACAGGAAATAGGTAGGTACCTTTTAGTAAAACATGCCCTACAAGATTTGAAAATTGGGGGACTGCAGCACATTTGTTCAAGAGCAGCAGTGCAAGCATTGTCTGCCCTACACAGAGGTTCTGGAAATCCCTTGAATTTGTGAAAATGATTCAAACAATTTTGACAATGAGCCGCCCTATTACAGTGACAAGAGGCAATATCCCTGCAGACAACACAAACAGATCTAGACGGCTGTAGCCTAGTGAGTGGAGGAAAATAAGGAATAGGTTGAGTTCTATAAACAAAGGAATTGTCGGTCATTGTTGTCAGCGGTGGAGCAAAAGCCAAAGTAGGAGACTGAAAAGGAGGATTTGAGGCTCCAGTCACTGCAGACTCAGGAATAGGTGGATTAGGAATTGTTTGTGGAGGGGATGATTGATGATGATGATGATGATGATGATGATGAAGGTGTCGTGCTTATTGCATCTCATACAGCTGTTCAGTCTCTGAAACACCCTCTGATACAGTCCTGTGGTCTCTGGAGATCTCTCCTCTTAGGAATACTGGGGTCAGGGGGGCTTCAGAGCAGCTTCTGGTAGATTTGCTTCTACAATTCAGGTCACTTGTAAAGATCCCTTTCTCTGTTAAAAAAAAAAATCTCTTACAAAATAGATCTTAGTACAATTCCAGTTTGCTATGACAGTAAGTAGGTCAGGTAGTGAGACCCAGCTCAAACCTTAATAGGACCCATATGAACATCACATTTACATTTTTTGGTTGGCAAATTCAAACAAGAATTGAAAAATTTAAAAATTCTGAAAAAGGTTCAAGGTATTTAATTTTCTATTTCTAAAACAAGCTGTGTTCTCAGGTTAGCTTTGAAGGGGTTTCTTCCTGCTAGATCTGCTCCTCAAATGCCAAGACAACACAAACTCAATATAAAATAGAGCTATAGGAGGAATCATTAGATTAAGAATACACAATTTACCTGAAACTTCAGAAAATTTCAGTTGTTGCATCATGAGGGCCTGAATTGGAAAATGAGTCTTTGTGTCTCTCTTTTTTTTTCTTTTTTTTTTTTGGTGAGGCAATTGAGGTTAAGTGACTTGCCCAGAGTCACACAGCTAGTGAAGTTGGATTTGAACCCAGGTCCCCCTGACTTGAGGGCCGGTGCTCTATCCACTGTGCCACTTATCTGCCCCTGTCTCTCTTAATATTATTAGATGTTTCAGATAATTTTTTTTAACATTTCTTTTTTATTTTTAGGCAATTGGGGTTAAGTGACTTGCCCAGGGTCACACAGCTAGTGTCAAGTGTTTGGTCTGAGGCCAGATTTGAACTCAGGTTCTCCTGACTTCAGGGCCGGTGCTCTATCCACTTTGCCACCCAGCTGCCCCCAGATAATTTTTTACATGCAAAATTCTTAATCCAATTTTGAAAATTGTGTCACATCTCCTACTAGTCATATTATCAGGAGGAAAGAAACTTAGGGGGCGGTCTCTTGTAAACTAAATAACTCACCAATTGTAAGACTTCACGGTCTCTATTATTTGTGATTCAAATGACAATTCAAAATGATCCCCCACTAACATATATCACTTAATCAAAAGCCACCAGTAGGGTTCATCTTCTTTTACACTTGCCCTTATCAGTGGAATTTGCTATGTGAGGAAAAAGACTGGGCCATAGCAGCATTAGTTCTGTTTGATTTCAGGTATGAGTCGTAGGCAGTCAGTGCATGATGGGATGTCATAGCCAGGTTCAGAATTAACAAGGTGGGAAAATGTCTTATTTACCAAGATGGAGATAGGTCAAGAGAATCCTACCTTCACCTTCACAAGGCCTTTCTTTTCACTTTCTGAGACAGACATCACCTCTGGCAGTCCTCAGACTGCAGGGGCACATGACATTTCCCTTGAATGGTGAACCAGCAACCTTATGAGGGGTCAGACACTTACACCTGAATTCAAGAGTTAGAATAGCAGCAAATTAAGGTGCCAAGAGACTCTTCCTCAAATAGCAAAATTTCACTAATTATAGCTTAGGGCTAAATAATTTTTTTTCATATTAGCCTCAAAATTTCATTTAGAATTTTTAAACTATTCACAAATTTCATCTGTTTTCCCTTATCATTCCCCGCCCCCCCCACCTTGGTCCGCAGATAAAGCCAAAGGGAGAACAGCAGACCATTTCTAGATTACAATGCAATGAGACCCCCATCAGAGTCCATGTAGATAAGTGGGTCATATCTGGGCACAATTTCCATGGTGAAAGCTAGGGTAGCAGAGGGATCTGTGGCTTTAGAACCAGGGAATAGTTCGACCTTGGTCAAGGACCTACTTGGGCACAATAATAATTTTTTTTCTGTAAGTGCTCAAATTGGGGTGGGTGCGAGCTAGCAGATGTCCACCAGTGTATGTGACTTGAAAGGCAAGCTGATTAAAAGCTACCCAAGTTGGACAAGTGGCTGTCATGCAAATTGCCACTGGGGTGTGCTGAAGTAATCCACTCTTGCTTAATTAAATCCATTATCCTTTGTATTATCCTTTGTATGCCACAGTGACCCACCTTATGAACTAAAAAAGCATACCTTTGGAGGAGTGGTTTACCTGTCTCAAGACACGCAGACCCAAGACATCTGTTTAGCATTGCACTGTTGTTTCCCACTTCTTCACATGTTCATACACAATGAATAGTTGGTTCAGAGTAATAGCATTAAAAGATACAATTACATGGGGCAACTAGGTGGTGCAGTGGATAGAGTACCAGCCTTGGAGTCAGGAGGACCTGAGTTCAAATCCGGCCTCAGACACTTGACACTAGCTGTGTGACCCTGGGCAAGTCAAGTAACCTCATTGCCTAAAAAAAAAAAGATACAATTACATGAGTTTCCAAATGACCCTAAATGACATCCACTTTACTATTCAAAAGTTTCTCCACTTTGGGTGAAGCCCCAGTTCCTCAAACGACATTGCTGCTAAGTTTCACAACACCCTATCAGTAGGCCAAGGAACCTCACAGGCAGAGATCTAAGAGGATTTTACCATGCTTTTCTCCCAACAGTCAGTCATTCACTATTATTATTTTCTAAGTTTAAAAAAAACCAATACATACTCCAATAATCATATAACAGATATATTTATAAAGTAACTATTCAGATTGAAAAGATAAAGAAACTTGTTCTAACCACTTCTCTTAGCCTTCTTATACTTAAAACATCACCGGTCAGGTGATAATTATTTAATTACCTTTCAAACTCAGTAATTCATAGAAAGTCATATATCGTATTACCCCTGGCAT